ATTTTGTACATTTTGAGTACCAGAGTGTTCGGCGGTTGAATTATTTTTGGGAGCCTGAGGATTAATGCTTGGATCTTTAAGTTTACATTTACTGCAACACCAGTTTAGTTTGGCAATATTCGACATCTTTCTAAAAGCTGTCTCCCTCAGAGCGGCACAACCAAAATTTTGAAAAGCATTGCATTTTGCGCAGTTGAGATTATCACCTTCGAAAATATCATCATTGCAGACATTACACAACATTGTTGCCCCTATAGATTAAAAGCACAAGAGAATATAAATACAGACGTCGATAGCGCACGAAAACAGATGTTATACAGATGTATTGTTTATACATATAACATATGAATATAAATTTAAAATATACACAAATACTTGGATTTTTAAAATCATTAAACATGGTGGTTTTACACATATTATTATTTACGAAATTCCAATCGCCTGTCTCCATTCGTTGTTTTTTTCTGTAGATATAAGTAATATAATAATATAAAAATTACCGGTTTTAGGGGTTTTAGAATGAAGGCGGGTTAGCAACTTCCCTTGTCGTGTTGTGTCGTGTATAATACTTTTTTTCTGATTGGCTTACCAAAACGTGATTGTAAAAATATGATCGTGTCGACCAACACGATACCGCGAATACCGTGTAGACGTGTAGTTGAATATATTCAACTTTTGATCGTGCAGGTCACAATGAGCACGCTACAGTCAGGGGTACTAAACTCCGTGCGTTGGCCGAACAAGGCGATTGCGGCCTTGAACACGGTCTCATACGTGAAATAGGAAATGGTAAACAAGCCACCCCGCGTCGCGTATCCCGCCATAGCCTTGAAACCGTTTTCATAATATTGGTAACCACGGGTCTAGCATCATGTTGGTGAGTGGAACCGTTTTCATGTTTTTCGTAGGTTCAGACTTCAGATCATAGGTAACCAAGACCCCAATCAGCTGATCGAGTTTCGCTTCTATATTGTTCTATGCTACAGTCTTGTAAAGAATACTTTTCTTTTGTATTCAAAATACATGTTCAAATAAATGAGAGTTAAGATATTCAGAATACGTATTCGAATAGTTATTAAAAAATATATTCAGAATACATATTCAAATACTTTAAAAATTATTCGAATACTATCAGAAAACTTATTTTCAAAACTAGTTTTTGTCAGTTTTTAAATGGTTGGTAATTAACATTTATTAATTAAAAATTAAAAATACATCGTAATCATAAGTTATTTATACATTTTGACCACGGCCGATACTTGCCATAGCCCATACGGGATACAACACAAAGGTGTTTATAAAAATAATCATATCATGAGAAAATATTATATTTGGTTCAAAGAATAAAATTAATGTTCATGATTTATAATATGTCTTGTCACAAATTTAAAACTATTTTTCTGGATTGGAAAAGAGTATTTTTTTAATGAATAAAAAATACAAATAAAATAAAGTATTCGAATACTTTACTTTACTTTTGTTTACTGTTATCTCTTATATTTTCATACGAAAAAAATTTATGAAATATAAATTTATTTAAGAGTATGCCACAGCAAAACCTGTACGCGTGCAACGCTCCAGAGATGGCGTTGTGCGCCTTATCGCCGCCGTCGCGGCTGGACGTAACAACGCCCATTGCCTCCGTGTCAAGACCTACCCGGCGTACTCGCAGGAGAGGCGCATTCATGGCTAAATACACTGGTATGTTCCACGGACTAAGATAGAATGGACTGGTAACGGTAGGGACGGCGAGGTGGTGGGGTCTGATCCCCAAATGTTTCTGCCCCGCTACACTGCACATCTATCACAAGTACACTATGTTCAACGCTATCTAGTGATAATAATATACGATAGAAAAGTAAATAGTGACTAATGAATAGAAAAATAAAATTGTTACGATTATTTCTCCATAGATGGCGCTGAATGTAGTGTACTCTGGTACCTTGTCTAGAGAAACATTTGTGTCACACTGATAAGACATTCGATATCAGTCCATTCTATCTTAGTCCGTGGTATGTTCTCAACTTGGATGAAAATCATGCAGTCAGCGCAGCCAGTATTTATCATGGAATAAAAATCTTTTAGTTGTTTATTCCATGGGATATGACGTAGGCCTGTCTGCTTTTTGTGGCGGACACTTGCTTCAAATTCGCTAGACTAATCCGGTGTGAAAAATGAATGTCGGGAAAAAAGTCGGTGGTAAAAAAGTTCACTGAATAAACATACCCGGAAAAAAACAAGTTTACTAACACTCAATTCACTAATTACGTTGTACAATGTACATGTTATATTATTCAAATCTTATACCGCCATCATGATTCATTATAAATTACAAAAATTATACATTACAAATTTAATTATACTCAATTTTTTAGTTACGGTAAATGTTACATTAAAAAATAATTGAGAAAAATAAGTATTATCTTATATATTATTTAGTATATTATGTTATACTGGTATCGTAATCTATATATATATCTATATCTATCTATCTATCTATACTACTATATAAAATGAAGTCGCTTTTTTTTGTTCGGGATAAACTCCGAAACTACTTATCAGATCTTCTTGATTTTTTTTTTAAACGAAAGAGTATTTCATGGAGAAGGTTTATATGAAAGAACATTTTAGGAAAATCCACCTGAAAAGTAGAAAATATGGATGTCAAAAATACTACAGTGGCTCCATCTGTCCAGAAAAAAATTAACTAAATAATAAAATGAAAATTTAGTTTATTGTTGCAGATTAAAATAATAATAGTGTATAATATTATATTGGTTGCTAATGGTTAATCGGGCATGTTTGTAGAATTTGTGTTATTGTCTTTTGTCAATATATATATAAATGAATGTTTGTGGGTAGATTAGACCTCTGGGATGAAGATAGGCTAATTTAAAAGGGTTAAATTTGGTTTTATTTTATTCATCGGATTTTAGTACGGTTAGGTTAGGATAGGATTTTGTATCATTATATTAATCCATTTTAAGTGGAATTAAGTAAAAACGACAAACTTGGTATAACTTTGATATTTTAGAGTTAAATCATACACTTACGTACAAACAGCATGGGGTCCGCGATCTACCGCAGGTAGATTGCCTACCTGATGATGTTCTGCTGCGAATCAGATTTTTTATTCCGGGCAACAGAAAAGTTAAGATAAATTTTGAACACCATACACCGAATATTAAATAAACTGAACAAAGTTTGAGTCATATAGAGTTGGTACATTTAACGGGCAACGAAGTGCACGGGATCAGCTAGTATATTTTAAATTAAAAATATTACACACAGATTTAATTACACTCAATTATTCAGTCTATTTTTATATAATGTATATTTATAAATCTGATTAAAAATAAACCATTATTCTTATGAAATTAACATGTTTGTTTTTATTTATTCCTATATTATAACATAACCTAAGTATAATAATTGTATTATTTTCACCATACCTACTTGTCCAATTTTCAAAATGCCTTCGTGTTCAGTAAAAAATTGTAAAAGTGGTAGATCTTCTATGCAAATATCCAAGGTGAAACTTTTCAGTTTTCCTTGGAGAGATGCTGATTTGTGTAAAGTTTGGGTAGAATTCTGTCAAAGAGACAAAATAAATGTCAAATCTGGTAAGTTGAATAAGATTTATCTGCATAAAGACTTAAGATTTGTCTACATTAACTTTGTGTATTGTTTATAAATTATACTATACAAAAATATATATAAAAAAAAATAAAAATATTATAACCATAATAAAATCACAAATCTACAGCTAGAATATGTTCTTTACATTTCGATGCATCTCAATATGCTAAGAAGCCGATGATTCAAGAAATGCTTAATTATTCTCCAAAATGCCAGAGAAAATTAAAAACAAATGTTGTTCCTACAAAACTAATTGTAAGCTATAATATTTTACCTCAGTTTATTTTATTATTTTAAATTATATATACCTATACATGCACATGCAGACTGGATCATATTTGAGTCTGAATTATCTATTGTCATTTTTAAATTTGAAAATTTGAAAATCTAATACAAATAAAATACAAAAATACATATTTTTATCCATGATGCTTTTATAGTTTTATAAATAATAAGCATGAAGGAATTATTATAATTTACATTTTCTTGAATTGCGCCTATGTTCTTGATCATTTTTTAAACAGCATATAGTACAGAATCAAAAGGTTAGTCCCAAAAACAAGAGTCCATGGAATGTACAAAAGGTTTATCCTGGAGATCTTTTAAATTATAATGGTCAACAAATTATTATTACAAGTCCAGGATTTTCTGTTTCTGATATTAACCCAGGGAATGTAGAAGAGGTTTCTGATATTCAAGTATAATGTAACAGCATTTTCTAGTTATATATTTTTAGTAACGTTTCATTTATATTTACTTCAGAATAATTTAGTATTAAACTTAAATGAAGGTGCAAAATCTAGCAACCAATAAAGTTATGGAAGACCAGATAATGTTACTGAGACTGAGGTAAGTATAGAATAAGTAGTATAAACATAAATAAATAAATATATATATATATATACAATATACATATTATACAGTGTGATCACGATTTAAGGTACCACTAAATATCTCAGGTGCATGACCTTGTATTGAAATGGCGTTTTCGGGAAGTGATAGGGAGTAAATAAATACATATTTTTGGATAAATTTCAAATTTTTAACATGTTTGGTGTGCGCATGCGCAATACAACTTACATTTTTTTAAATGGAAACACCATTTTTTTTTTACACATTCGGATAGATTATTTTTTTTTGAGCATTTTTTGTATCAACAGTTTTTTTTCTATTTTCAAAACTGACCAAGTTAGAGTAAGTCAAAGTTTGGATTTATGCATAATTCGTGTTTAACGAAATTTTCACTTATAACTACTCAGTGGCGGATCCAGGGCTTAATTTTGGGGGGGGGCAAAAGTTCAAAATAATTTACAACATTTACACAATATCTCACAAATTTATATTTTATAGTTTACTGCAGTTTACAAAACAAAGTCTAAACGTCGCTGTTTTTTATTGGCAAAGCGTTCTATGACAGATTGTATTAATTCGTTTACATTTACTTCCCTATGCACGTGTAATAAACAAAGACCTGTTAGCCGCGTTTCACCCATCCTAGACCGCAACCAAGTTTTCATCCTGCGAAGAGTGGAAAAGCTTCTTTCAGCCGATACTACTCCAACAGGCATTGTAGATAATATTTGTAAAAACGATTTGATGTTTGGAAAAACTTTAGCATTACAAGAAGAAAAGGCTTCTATTGCATTATCAGGACATTTTTCAATTCCTTCTTCAGCAATTATTTTCCATTTTTGGCACCAGATTTCTAATTCACCTAAAATAAAAATTATATTTAATATACTTTTAAAAAATTTATATCAATGGAAAACTAGGATATACAATTTATATTTAGGTACCTACCTAAAATAGTTTTGCCATGTAGTATATTTGGTTCAATCGAAGAAAATCTCTTTGATACATTAGATACTCTATCTTGATATTCTGAGGTACAGTACATTTTTTGTTGCAAAAAAGTTGTTGGTATAAATAAACTTAAATCATAAGCTTCCATACTTGGTAATGTAAAGCGTCTTTTAAGATCTTCAATTATTGAATCCAACAATGGAATAAACATGCTTATACAATAATATTCATCAATGCTCTGAGAATTATAATTTTCTCTGTGTGTTTGTTTTTTATTGATTCTTGGTATTTTTAAATCAATATCTAATCCAGATGCCAATTGTTGTACTTCTGAATACAATTTAGCAAACTCAGAAATACAATTAGTTCTATTACTCTGTAGTACAGTTATAGTGCACTGAACTATTTCAGAAGCATTTTTTAAATCAATAGTTGATGACTGTAAAATTTTACTTAATGGCAAGGTACGCTCTAACACATAACTCAAACAAGTCAATGCAAAAATAAAATCTGTATCACATATTGATAGAACAAAACTTTTAGCTTTAGATGTAGTCATACTTGATTCCTTCCAAAGAGTAATTTCAGCAAGTACAATAACCAGCTGTGGAAGTATTTTTTTAAATTGTATTACACCATCATGAAGTTCAACCCATCTTGTCTGACAAAGTCCAATAAGTTTATGACCAATTGTATCAATTAGTAATTTATGTTTTTTAGAAGATGTGTTGAAAAAAGCAATAATAGCTTTTAAAGTACCAATTGCGTTTCTTATAGATGGTATAGTTGAAGCCTGAGCCAATGAATTGTTTAAAGCATGGTTGAAACAAGGACATCTAACAGCATTACAACATTTTTTTTGTATCTCCGATACTGCACCACAAGACTCTGACACCATTACTGCTGCACCATTTGTTCCGATACCAACACACTTATCTAAATCAAGCCCTAGTTTAGTTATTATATCCAACACAACATGCCCAAGTGCTTTACCACTTAGCTTAACTTCATAAGGATTTGATACATCTTCTGGTCTAATTGATTTATAGGCATCAACAAATGTTATAAAATCTTCATGCACCTTATCATCCAGAACATATCTCAATATTAAGCTTAGCTGTTCAATATGGCTGATGTCTGTAGTCTCATCAAATATTATAGCAAACATACCAGCCTTCCTTACATTATGAATTATTTTAGATTGTATTTCTTCGCCAATGCAGTCGATTAAGTCGTTTTGAGTAGTTTTGCTTATAAATGTTGAACGAGATGAAGTTGTTTTTATATGCTTTTCTAGTGTTTTGTCACCTGCTCTTATTCTAAACATTAGAAGTTCTCTAAAATTTCCTTCATTTGATGGACGAGCATCATCGTCCAGAAATCCATCATCTCTGTGCCCTCTTAACGCTAAATTTTGTCGACCACAAAATATAATAGTTTCAATAATTGGAACTAACCGTTTTCTATTTTCACTAACCTGAATGGATCGTTGAGTATTTATTTGATTTATAATTACTTTTTGTGGATTATGATATGCAGCCAAAAAATTATTCCCAGACTCAACAGCAAATTTATGATATTTATTATTGCAGTGTCTTTTCAAATCACTATCCTTGCCAGTTAATTTTGAAAAGATTTTAAGTGGTTTTTTTACCAAAGTTTGAAGTGTTACATTGTTAGATGTATTGGAAGCAAACAAAACACAGTATTTACAAAACAACCCTTTCATGCAATCTGATAGTACTAACCAATGATTATTTTGTAAGTGGACAGGTAGAACGTTTCTTTTTATTTCTTTTCCTTGGCGTATGTGTATAGAGAATGGATATATGTATCCTGGTGGAGGAACCCAGTGTTTTTCAAGCAATGCACATTTTGTGAAGTCATCAATAGGAATTGAAGTATTAATAAATTTTCCAATATCTAAGCTGTCATCAATTATTATACTATAACTTTCATCATTCTTCAGATTCTCCTACATAAATAAAAAAACATGTATCAACCAATTGGCAACTATAATAATTTGTGTATTATATACAATTACATAGGTACAAAATGTAATTATAATATTATTATAAAATGTTAAATATTTTAATTACTAATTAGGTACCTATAAGACATAAGTATTATATAATTATTGAACCAACTGAATAACTTGGAATAACTTACTGAATGAGTTCCTGGGTCGGTTAATGTACTACTTGTACTTATAGGAAACACGTCATTTATTTTTTTTTGCATTTTATTTTTTTTGGTATATGAACTAGACTTAGAGGATGAATCAAAACTCAACTCTCTTTTGTTTACATTTTCATTCTAAACAACAAAATACAATTGTAAAATACTTAAATACTATTACCTATGTAATGAAATAACTAAATAGTTAATATTAATTATAGTAGGTATCTATATTACATTATTACAATATTACTTATATTATTCAATATTCATTATTATTATAAGTATTAAAATAAATTTGTAATAGTGTAATACAATAATATTATAATATTAATATAATATTATAGCAATATAGCCTATTATAGGTACCTACTACCTGTCTACCTACATATTATAGGTAGGTACTATAAAAACTATCGGCTTACCTGCTGATCAGATTCAAGAGATTGTACTTGTTTAGAAAACCTAAATTTCTTTAATTTTTCTTTGAATGATACTGATTTTTTGTCCATTCTGAATTTTATTATTTTTTTAATTATTTTAATTAGCGCACACGAAACGTCGACACGTCGAACTTGACTGTCGAAAACGTACGATAAGTAATAACACATTAGCCATTAGGACGTTGTCTATGTTATTACGTAATTGATTTTACGTCTGTGTCGACTGTCAATAATCACCAGAACTATGATAAGGAAACCTAATAACTTATGTGCTATTATTAGACTGGTGAGAAATTATCAGGATTGTAATTTTTCCATGTTTACAATAAAACTCTCGTATGGAAATTGATATGATATGATATGATATGATTATATGATTATTGAATACTGTACCTAACTCTACTAGAGTCTAGAAGTATTAATATCTACGATATAAAAGATAGGGCAACTACAGGGCGTTTGGGGGGGGGGGGCAAATGCCCCCTTTGCCCCCCCCCCCCTGGATCCGCCACTGTAACTACTGGAAATAATAAAATAAATGTTAAATTTACCTTATCTGTTTACAAATAATAATTTAATAATACTGTTGGTCAATATCTAGAGTATGTGATAATATTTGTTTATTAAACTCCTATAATACGATTACAATTTTAACTATTTTTATAGTGGAATTTTGTTTTATTTTACAATAGCTCAAATAACGATAAGATAATCAGATAATGTAACTATTAAGGTATTTAATTTGATGAAAAATATCATTTTACTTTTATTCTGTAACTAGACTTGTACCAAAGTGTGTACGTTATCCGTGTATGTCTGGTTATTAAGTACTCCTGTAAATTATAAGTTTTTAAATATGAATAACGCTGAAAAAGTTGAGTTGGTTTTAATTTATGGTGAATGTCAGCGTAATTTACGCTTAGCAGCTATGACATATGCCGAACGATACCCAGAAAGATACCACCCACCTCACAATTATGTTTTAAGACTTTTACAAGGGTTAAGTCAAGAAGGAAGATTTCCTGATAGACAAATCAACCAACAAAGGCGTAGAGCAAATTTGTTTGATGAAGACATAGAATTACAGGTACTAGCATACATACGAGCTAACCCACGATCGTCAATTAGGCATGTTGCTCTCGAAATTGGAATTTCATATCGTTATGTACAAAAAATTTAAAAAAAACATAAAATGCACCCGTATAAAATTGATTTAGTTCAACATTTGCGTGTAGGAGATTCTACTCGTAGGTTAGAATTTATAGCTTGGTTCAATATTCAATTTCATAATAACCCTCTAATTGTCAATCACATTCTTTGGAGTGATGAATCAAAATTTACCAATAATGGCATTATGAATAAGCAAAATCATCGATACTGGGATGATACAAACCCACACTGGTCACGTGAAACTAATTTTCAAACGGTCTGGGGAATTAATGTATGGTGTGGGTTAGTTGGTGGAAAGCTTATAGGACCGTACTTTTATGATGGGACACTTAATGGCAGACGATATTTAAATTTTTTAACCAACGAACTGCCAAGAATGTTGGAAGATGTTTCATTAGACACACGAGAACATATGTTTTTTCAACAAGATGGAGCACCAGCCCATAATGCAATTATTGTTAGACAAAAATTAAATGAAATGTTTCCGAACCGCTGGATTGGTACTTATGGCGTCGTTCCTTGGCCGGCACGGTCTCCAGATTTAACGCCATTGGATTTTTTTTTATGGGGACACTTGAAGACTGTGGTTTACGCAGATCTACCTGTTAATCTTCAAGACTTAAAAAATAAAATACAGGCAGCGTGTGAAATTTTAAGAGAAGAGCAAATCAAGGCGGCAACTACGACTGAATTTTTGAGACGACTTGAATCATGTTTAGAACATTATGGTGGAAATTTTGAACAATTTATAAGATAAATTTATTTACTTATTGTTATTATTATTGTTAATAATTTTTTATTATAGGTTTTTAATTATTACAGTTAACAGAAAAAAAAATATTGTACATTAAAAATAATATTTAATTAGGTAGGTACCTACTTCAAATTTATTTTATTATTTCTTAATAATTACATTATCTGATTATCTTATCGTTATTAAAACTATTGAAAAATAAAATAGAATTCCACTATAATAATAGTTAAAATTGTAATCGTATTATAGGAGTTTAATAAACAAATATTATCACATACTCTAGATATTGACCAACAGTATTATTAAATTATTATTTGTAAACAGATAAGGTAAATTTAACATTTATTTTATTATTTCCAGTAGTTATAAGTGAAAATTTCGTTAAACACGAATTATGCATAAATCCAAACTTTGACTTACTCTAACTTGGTCAGTTTTGAAAATAGAAAAAAACTGTTGATACAAAAAATGCTCAAAAAAAATAATCTATCCGAATGTGTAAAAAAAAAATGGTGTTTCCATTTAAAAAAATGTAAGTTGTATTGCGCATGCGCACACCAAACATGTTAAAAATTTGAAATTTATCCAAAAATATGTATTTAGGTACTCCCTATCACTTCCCGAAAACGCCATTTCAATACAAGGTCATGCACCTGAGATATTTAGTGGTACCTTAAATCGTGATCACACTGTATATATATTATATATATATATATAATAATATTATAATAATATATAAATATAAATAAATATCACCTATAATATTATAGTTCAGTATTTATTAATTATAATACTTACAAATACATAACACATATATTTTTTAGCTTAAAGAATCAGACATAAATATCAAAAATAATACATGTAAAAGATCACTGTTCAATGAACATTTTAACGATGTTATACCTTTACCAAAAAGCCCAGAAAAAGAATTCACGGAACAAAGTGACAGTTTCAAGTATAAAAATGAAAGCCATAGTTTTTACTTTTTAGCATTGGTAAATGTACTAGATTTTATTACAGAAATGTGTTGTTGAGTTATCATAATGAAATTGAAAAGTATAAAAAAAAATTGTAGAATTGCAAACTACCATCAATTTACAAAAATAAGTTATAAAAATGAGTCCAACAAATCAAATGATTGAGGAAGAATTCGAACGAAAATTTCATGAAAAACTGTCTGGTCTTTTTACTTCCACACAGATAAGTTTAATTTTGCTTCCAAAACAAAAAGTATATAAATGGTCAGAAACAGATATTGCATCAGATATTACTCTACAAAGCTTATCTCCAAAAGCATATAGATATTTAAGAGAAAAATTGAAATACCCTCTACCAGGTATATAAATTAAATAAAAAATATTTAAACTCTAACAATCAATATAATTTATATAGTTATTTTAAATTAACCAGTATAAAAATAATTTTTTTTCAGGACTTTCAACTTTACGTAAATGGGCTACTAAATTTGATTTGAAATCTGGTATACTACATAGTATTTTACATATAATGAAATGTAAAGGTAATGCTAGTAGTTGATAATTAGTTAATAATTAAAATATTAATAAAAAAAATTGATTATTAGGTGAATCTATATCTGCGGAAGAGAGAATAACTGTTTTATCATTTGATGAAACATACTTGTCAAAGAAAATATGTTATGATAAATCATCTCAGCAAATTATAGGTCCCCATCAATCAGTTCAGACTGTTGTTGCTAGAGGTATGTAATACCATTACAGATTTACAGCCACAACTTCTTATGTTTGAACTTTCTTAACGTTTCAGGTGTAATTGGTCAATGGAAGCAACCAGTATTTTATGCATATGATACGCGCATGACTAAAGAATTGCTATTTGAATTAATAATGGCCTTAACTACATGTCAGTTTGATGTTGTTGCTGTTGTTAGTGATATGGGTACTTCTAATCAAGGACTTTGGAAAGATCTTCAAATAACAATTGACAATTCTTCATTTCAACATCCCTCTTCTTTAAACAAAAAGACTCATGTTTTCGCAAATGTGCTTCACCTAATTAAATTAGCAAGAAATCATTTTGTTAAAAAGTAAAATATAAAACTAAATACATTACATATGCCATTCAAGACCAGAAAAAATCATTTAGCATAATATTATATAATATTTATATATTTTATTTTTAGGGGTTTTATATTACCTGAACAGAAATACATCGGTAAACAAGTAGTGCAAGAAATTCTAAATCTTAATAATGATGATCATATGTTGGCATATAAAATAACTGATGATCATATAAACGTCCCACAGAGAAAAATACAAAGTGTCAAAATGGCCGTTCAGTTATTTTCAAATAGTCTGGCTCAAGCAATTTTTTTTTGTGGACAGAGAAACTTACTTAAGTGTACAAACTGGAAAGAAGTATTTATTTAAATTATGAATAACTTTTTAATTTTAGCATGTGTAACTTACTTAAATATTTATATTAGGCTTCTGATGTCATATTATTATTTAATAATTGGTTTGACTTAATGAACACACAGCAGCCGGTAGATAAGTTTGTGAGTAGTTATGGAATGGACTTGACATCACAAAATAAATTACTTGAAGATATGAACATATTTATAAAAAATATGAGAGTACACGGTAGTACATCAATGTTACCATTCCAGAAAGGTATATTGATATGGTGAATTGTATGAACAAGATGGTACTAAAAATAATAAATATTGTATTTTGTTTAGGAATTTTGATTACTAATCAATCTTTAGTTTATCTATTTACTGACCTGCAATTGAATTACCCAAAAATAAAATACATAATGACCCGAAAGCTTAACCAGGATGTACTGGAAAATCTTTTCAGTTACTTGAAAGGAATGACTGGTAGTAATACTCATTTAAGCCCCCTTGATTTTATGCATTGGTAAATATATTATTTAAGTACACTGATATAATAATAATAAATTACAAATAATATTTTTTTTGTGTATTATTCTCACTAGTTTAAAAAGTTATGTACTGGGTAAACATTCAAATTTTGTTTTTTCTGAAAACCGGAACACAGAAGATGCATTGAAGAATGTATAGTTGATACAGAGTGTTTAACTGGAATAACGATTAAAAAATCAAAAATACATAATGGCTCAAGAGATGTTCAAAATAACAGCAGTTTAGAGTTGGCAATGATAGACTCCGACTTAGGTAGTTGTAGTGCTGAGATACCTAAAGATCAATTCAATATTTTACTAGATTTTGAACTGCAAGTAATTATACACATTTTACAACATTATATATCATAATAATACATCATTATATATCTACTACCTATTATAAATAATAATTATTGTGTTAGGCCAAGGTAAAATCTGTTGATGATGAAGCATTTGAATATGTTGTTGGTTATGTGGCAAAAAGATTCATTGGAAATATCCACAATTAGGAGAAATTGCAACACCTCTTACTAACTTAGTTGCAGTTGGACAGAGTATAAATCAATGGGAAATCTAGTTAAGCCAACAAAATTGTTTTTTAAAGTTGCTAAAATAATGGACATGGAATTTCACAAACTACATGGAAATCATGTTAATCATAATCCAGGTATCACGTTGTGCATATCACACTAACTGAGATAGTGATGGATACAGTTGCAGGGTATAATATTGAAATACCAGCTGAAGTAGTGCATTGTTTGGTACGTACCCGGACATTCATGAGAATCAATAGGGTCAATAAAGCTATTGAACATAACCAATCCAAAAACCTAAAAGACAAGGCATATTTAAAAAAATGTATTGTATAGTTACTAATAGCTTCAATAACATGAAACTAATATTATTAAACTACTAAATATAAAATTAATTACTTGTACATACATGTTTAGATTTGGATTTTCATTAATTGACTACTCAACAATAGTCAACATTATCAATTATTTATGATATATTATGTATTTCAAATGTCAGGAAACTGGTAGGTAATGGTTAATCGTCAAAGTCTTTAAGTATTTAATTTTTATTTAGCGCATTACAACCTTCATTTTTTTAAATGGCAACATGTGTTTGAATACCAAATTCGGATAGACCGAATATTTTTAAGTCGATTTGGTACCTTTTTACCATAGCTCTAAAATCAAAATTGACTAAATGGCAACCAGTCAAAGTTTCGATTAAAATTATTGAATTTTTCACCAATCATACTAGAATTTTATGAATTATTATGAAATTTTTTTTATTATTTTTGTATCCTTAGGTTTGCAGATATTATTAAATCATTTAAATTTAATTTTGAGGAATTAATTAACCTCACAACGTAAATGTTTGTTCATTTACATTAAACAAAATGATATGATTTATTTCTCATAACTTCTATTATTAAAGTTTCTATTTAAATTATTAATTTTATCAATTATTGTTATTTTTCATGATACAAGTTTGGTAATTACTTGTAATCTCTAAGATAATTTTATTTGTAGCCTTTACTAAAATAAACCAAATTTATTTATCGTGTGCTAAGAATGATATTATCTTAATGTCCGTATAAATCTGACAATAATAACTTATTATAACTGATAAGTTTTAGCATTTGTTTAAATGTGATTATTGAAAGTCATTACAAGTTTTAAACTCGTATGTAAGTATTTCATTGAAATTTAAAAATGGCAAGTAACAATGAAAAAGTTGATATGCTTTTAGTTTATGGTGAATGTCGACGTAATTCACGAAATGCCGCTAGAATTTATGCAGAACGATATCCCGAACGAATTATTATCACCCTCCTCACAATTCCTTTGTCCGAATTGTATCATCTTTGAGAAATAGTGGTGAGCTATCTGCAAGACAAGATGATAATCGGCGTAATCAAAGACAGTTGAATGGACAGGCAAACGAACAGGACGAATTGCAGATATTAGCATATGGTCAATTAAATCCCCAATCTTCGATTAGGCATTTAAGCAACGAAATTGGAATTTCTTGTAAAAAAGTTCATAAAATGTTGAAAAAAAAATAAATTTCACCCGTATAGGCTTGATTTAGAACAAAAGTTGGTACCAGGTGATTCTAATCGTAGACTTACATTTATTGCATGGTTTATGATACAATTACACGACGAACCCGATTTTCTACGATTTATCTGTTGGACCGACGAATCAAAGTTTACCAACAACGGTATAATTACTAAACAAAATAACCGGTATTGGGCTGATCACAATCCATATTGGACGACTGATACAAATCACCAAACAGTTTGGGGAACTAACGTTTGGTGTGGGTTACTAGATGGGAGACTTCTCGGCCCGTATTTTTACGATGGTACACTTACCGGGAGAAGATACTTGGAGTTTTTAACTGATGTTTTACCTACATACATGGACGATATTCTATTAGGAACTAGAACTAATTTATTTTTTCAACAAGATGGAGCACCTGCACACAATGCAATTGTTGTAAGAGAGTATTTACAAAATAAATTTGGCAATCGATAGATGGGTACATATGGAGCAGTAGCTTGGCCACCAAGATCTCTAGATCTCACGCCATTAGATTTTTGTCTGTGGGGACATTTGAAGAATGTAGTGTATTCAACTCCACCTTTAAATGTTCAAGATCTAAAAAATAAAATTGTAAATGCTTGTGCAGAACTTAAAAAGGAACAGATATTAGCAGCTACTCAAAGAGAAGTGATTCGTCGATTTCAATCATTCATGGAGAATGATGGGCTAAATTTTGATCAATTTATTAGATAGTTATAAGAAATTTGTTTATCCAAATAAATAATAGAAATGATTGAAATTGTAAAAAAATTGTGTTAATTAGTTTAATCTTTTCTTACTTAGTAATTGAACTAACATTTACGTCTAATTGAGGTTAATTAATTCCTCAAAATTAAATTTAAATGATTTAATAATATCTGCAAACCTATGGATACAAAAATAATAAATAAAATTTCATAATAATTCATAAAATGCTAGTATGATTGGTGAAAAATTCAATAATTTTAATCGAAACTTTGACTGGTTGCCATTTTTGTCAATTTTGATTTTAGAGCTATGGTAAAAAGGACCAAATCGACTTAAAAAAAATTTGGTCTATCCGAATTTGGTATTCAAAACATCTGTTGCCATTAGGTTTTAATGTAAAGATAATTGTCTTGCTCTGTATCAGTGTCTGCATTTATTGATAGTAATTTTTGAAGAACTTTGGGACATTCATCTCCTATTGATAAAAAATATGATATTAAGGCTGGATAAAATTTTAAAATTTTGTCAATTGCTGGACCAAGAGATAACCACCTAGTTGGTACATGTTTCACCAATTCTTCCCGATCAACTTGAGCGAAATCAAAAAAACTTTTTAAATTTTCTCTTCTTGATGCAGACGAAGAGAAATGACTATATATTTTTAATACTACTGTCTCTACATCAAAGTCTAATTTTGAGTCTAAATGCATTGTTAACAATGTGAGCCAAACAACCAGATTTAATTAATTTATTGTTTTCATTATGTAAAAGTGTATATGCAGATTTATGTTTTAAAAAATTAGCATTAGTGTTATCAGCACTAAACGCTGAAACAGAAGACATAGATAATTTGTGCTTACTTATAATGTTGAAGTTATTGATTTACATATAGCCTCTGCAGTTTCAGACGGTTCTTCAAAAAAAAAAAAAAAAATAGTTTTGTTTGACGTCCATCAGTAAATGAAAAATATTGTACACATATTGGATATATTTATATCAATTTATATCAGTTGCTACAGAAAAATATACTTTATAATTATAATAATCATGAAGATCTGATACTACAATTGATTCTGCTTTGGAACCCAAGACATTAATCGTGGTACTTTCGGCTTTGGTCCGAGCACAGGCTAATTTTTTTAGCTACTCCAGAATCGGGATATAATTTTGACATTAGTTTTAAAGAAAAATCCAATGAATTATATGATAAATTATGTTTTACATTATGATAAACTTCAATTAATTCAGCCAAAGCAATTTTTTGAGATGAAGTGACAGACTTACTGTTGATTTTATGTACATTGCTTTTTTCATGTTGTTTAACGTCAGATAAGCCACCATGAGAAATAGAAAAGTCTTTATTACAAATTTCAAGCTTGTTTACACATTGTACCTCAGATGATATTGATGATTCATCAGTATCGCTTAAATAATCATTTGTGTCTGTATCAGTTTCAGAGTTGTCTGTATTTTCACGTTCCTTACCAATAGAAAAATTAATTTTTTTTAATGTACTGGCCAACATAAATTCTTCTTTGTTTTTATCGGTGGTATTCGCTTGATTGGAAACCACACCAGGATTTTTACCCAGAATAATCATTCGTAGTCTATACAACGTATTAAGAGGGGATGGATGGTCATTCAGTCCTCCTCTGGATCGAATTTGTGAAAATAAATTTTCTAAAGCATCTTGATTTACTTTACTTGTTAAAAGATATTCCAAGCCATTTTGTTGTAAAATTTTTAAAAGATGTTTTGTCCCATTAATATTCATAAGGAGAGCCTTTTGAAAAATTTCAAGCGATTTTTTCCCATTGCATCTCACTGTTAAAAATATATCATATACATTATCGAGAAGTGCATCTTGTTCATCAATTAATAATCCATATGGTGCTGTATAAGTGTATAAGGAGAGTGCTTATCATTTGTGTGTGAAACATTTGCTAAATCAAACCAATTGTTAACTAATTCAATAAAGTTGGCTGTGTCGTTTAGTAATTTTATATCAGTTATAGGTTTATAATGCTTAAGTGCAGTTGCGGTGGTATGAGACAGTAATTGTGTTGCTAACCTTACTTTTTGTCTCAGGGGTCCATCACAGGTTAAATGTTCGGAAGTTAGTTTATGACAAACACTAAGCTCTGTAGACATATTTCTTACCAATGCTTCTAATGGTTTTTTGTTGATAATTTGGTCATTAATTTGAAAACCCGTGTCTAATAACCAGTTTCTGATAAGCTTTAGAATATGAGGTGCATCTGGAATGTATACTATATCTCTTCCGTTCGGGATTGAGAATATAGGATTTTCATAACTAATATTTAAACTTTAAAGCTTTCCACAAACCAACATTTCCCCCACTGCAGTCACTAGTACAACAAACAACCTTATATCCAATTTGATCCAGTCTTTCAATTATATCAAAGAGAATGTCTTTAGTCATTTTTTTATCGAAGTCTACATAAATTGGCTGTTTCCATTGTGATGCTAGTCCTCGAGCCATAATCACCTGCATTTGGTTATGAGGCCCAACAACTTCATCATGAAGGACATCATACTCCATGACACTAGACACTTTAACTTCATCAAACATTAATACTGTAAGCTTTTCAGAATTATTCAATACTTCACCATTGAGTTTCATTAGATTTAGTACATCATGAAGAACACCATTCCTCATTTCTATGCTTTTGGCCCACCTCTGAAGAGAAGAAAGTCCTAAAATCAATTTACAATTAATACAAACATTTTTTAACTAAGTATAATGGTTCAATGAGTATAAAATAAAAAATTATTAACCAGGTAGAGGATAATGCAGTTCATTTTTGACATAGACATATGCTCTTTTACTGAAATACCTAAGAGTGAAGGCTTTTGAAATTTCAGCTCTTGTCCAATGGACCCTTTTCTTTTTTTTCATTATTAAATTCAACTGGTTTGCAGAAAATATAGATGACAAATATTTCTTGGCTTGATTTTCAATCGTTTGACTTTTATTTAAAGAGAGCAATTTGATTTGTTTGTTTTCTGTGTTTGTTATAAAAGCAAGTTAGTTTCTTTCAAATTTTTAGTTAGAACCTTTATACTCAAACGAAGTGATTCATTAATTTTTTTATTGTCAATATCAGATTTTTTAATTGACGCAATTTCTTTTTCCAGTACACTGTAATCAGTTTTTAATATGTCATATTCTTTAAGTAGATTGATATAAAATTGCTCATAATCTAGTTCAATGTTAACTTGTGTAAGATCATCATCTGGTATAGACAGTACTTTGGATGTACTGGATGTACTAAGAGCTGAATTGATTATCTTGTTGTGATCCTACAACAATTATTAACAAATATCTGTGAGTTACAAAGTAATGTGATAAGTGAGATAATATAATATAATATTTATTCCTATATTTTGTGATTTATTAGTGAGTTTGATATTTTATTCTGTTTCTTTGCAATTATCAGACAAACATTAAATTGTACAGGTTATGAGGTCATGAATCATGATATTACATCATATATATAATAAATTATCACTACATATTATTAATTATGTTATAAATTATGATACTAAAATAATATAAAACTTTCTGTTTAAGTATTTGACTGTGGTAATACATAGGGACAAAATTAATACATGAATATAAATTTTAATATTAACCTCTTTTATTGATTTTCTTTCCATCCTACTTCTACGACTAAAGATTGATGCAGATTCAACTATATTCGATACTAAGTCAGTTGGTAAATTCAACGTAGGAATTGCATCCTCTTTAAGTCTTCGACTCTTAGATTTATATCCTAAAAATACATCAAAGAATAAAATATATTATATCAAAGTTATATTTTTAGAAATACTGCCTAAAAGTTCTGCTTTTAAGTCTCGAACAAATGCATCAACATTAAAGTGATCAGAGCAAATAAATGATGTATCTGGATTAAAATGATCACCTCTTTTGCATTTCTGAACCCATTCTTTCCGATAGTTTAGATCTTTTGGAAATCTAAACATAATATATTTTAAATGCATATAATAATAGATATAATAACCTAAATACCTAAATTATAAATAATATATATTGACTGTTTTATTATTCATTAATAATTAATATACAGTGTCGGTCTTTTTGGACCTTGTCTATAGTAGGTATACACATTAGACTTTACATGTATTATACTAATATAAATATTGAAATATAATATTATGCATTAATAATAATTTTAAGTACCTACCTGTGAAATGATATGTTGGATTTTCCATCATTTTTTGATTTACTGTAGTTATTTATGCAAGTAGCAATAGCACAACATGAGCCTCCTTTCTGCTTTAATATCTTTGATTCCATAATACGTTTAAACTTATGAAATGTACAAACAATGAAAATAAATGAAAATATATTAAAAATAAAATAAATATTTAAATAATTAATACGGTAAACTCAAAACCAATGTTAGCTGTAGTGTTGTAGATTGCATGGTAGATTGTATACTGTAGTATACGATGTTAACATATTATACTACAATGACGTCATCGGACTAGTTCTCCCACTCCTACTTTCTCGAAATTTCCGTATGAGGCAACCTCTATAATCTAAAAACCTTGGGACAAATCAAACAAAAACAGGACTGTCCAGAGAAACACGAGACGGGTGGCAACCCTGGATGACATGACATTCGAAGACATGTACCCCACCCACCTCAGGGCCCATACATTGACTTTATTCTAATTGCTGCACTGGACTAACCTATTAATTTTAAATTTTAAATTATAATTAAACAATAGATAATAATCAATATAAAAATTAATTTATTATTTTGTGAATAGAAATGTTGATAATGAACCCAGGGTTGCCACCCGTCCCGTATTTCACTGGGGGTGGGGTACATGTCTTCGAATGTCATGTGTTCGAAGGCCATGTTTTCAAAAGACTAGTGTTAGAAAAGTTATTTGTTCGAATAGTAATGTAATCGAAAAATTATTTGTTCCAAAAATATATGTTCAAAAAGTTGTTACACCAAAATGAACTGATTAAATGTTGTCAGAATTTTATTACTGAAAAAATTATTGATGAAGTCAATGAGAATAAGTACTTTAGTATAATATTTGATGAAACCACCGATGTCAGCCATACTTCTCAAATGAGCCTTGTTTTAAGACCTCAAGTGTCGGTTCTTAAATGAAAAAAGTCAAGCCTTGTTAAAATTATCTCAGGTTATACCTAGAAATATTGTTGAAACTAATGATGATATATAATTTAATAAAATTAGTTATAAAGTATTTTACTTTTGATGAAAATAATGAAATAAATGAAACAGAACTTAAGAGTGAACTGAATCTTTGGAAATCTAAGTGGATTAGAGAAAAGAATGAAGGTTTGTAAAATTTAGTACAAAAAATAGGGCACTTTAAAATAGTAACATTTAAATAAATAGTAAAAACATAGTTTTAAATTTTAGAACATTTTTAAACATATCAAATTTGGATGCTATGACTTCATTTGAGTTATGCAGTGAGATTCTTTATCCTAATATTAAAAAACTTCTACATATTATTGCATGTTTGCCTATAAGTGTAGCTTCAGCTGGGCGATCATTTTCCACATTAAGAAGGTAATAATTTTTATCTATTTCTAACATTATCATAGTTAACTCAATTTTCAACTTAACTGATTTTCATTGATGTAAACTTAAATCACTTTAAACTTTTAATACAACTTGATACTTGCATGAATCCAACACTTCCTCACTTTTGTACTAATGATTAACTATTACACTAATTGCATTAAGCTTTTGCTTTTGCTTATAAGCTGCTATATTTTTTTTGACTGCTGTTGCTATAGATTTTATTTATAATAAAATAATAGGAACAATCGTCGATCGCCAGTCATTATTTTAATAATACAATATTAATTCAAAATAACTACTGATATTTAAATAAAATCAATTTTGTATAATTTCTTCGTATATTTTTGGTAGTTATGGATAAAGTATGCATCTTTGAGAAATGATTTAATCTCAAAGTTATGTAATAATCAATAATTAGTTTAAGTAACTGACTTCGATGATTATCAAATGGGTCCTGATTTAAAATATGATTTTTCATTTCAATACTGTTAAACAATGTAGGGTCTGAGCATACTTCATTCATTAGTACTAACATAATAATTCCCGTATGGTCATTTAGTATTTAGCTGCAAACAGCATTACAGCAACACGCCGACACCCAACAGGTAGTAAAGAGTTGGTATCTATTGAAATTATTATAATTGATGAGGTAACTATATTATTTCTTCTTACTATTACACTTAAGTAATTAGTTACAATGAATAATGATTAACAAGTACAAAATGTTTAACAGTACTTTTGTATAACGACACAGTCTTAATTTGCTACTATGGAACAATATCATCGAAAATTGATCAACAATTGTATGTCAGATTTAATATATGTTACTTCTGATTTAGAAACTATTGTTGAAAATTTATTAGAAAAAAATGTTATCAATGAATGGATGAAAAATTATATTTTGGTAAGAAATTTAAATTACCTAAATTGTATTCTTCCATCACACCTCTAGGTATTATTTAAGAATTATAAATGTTTTAAGGGGCCTGCACGCGACCTGTTTTTTTGCTCAAAAACATGCCTTACAGGAAAAACTCTCACGCCTCGTAGATTGGTCCGATTTCTGTAATTTTTTTTTCGTTAGATAGAGGAAGACTTCTTACAGGGCGCATTGGACTTAGATTTTCAAAATTATTTTTCTAAGTCTTATGTTACAAGTTTGAATTTAATCAATTTTTACAACTTTTTAGTTTTTGTATTATTTTTGGTTTTTAGCGACGTAATCAAAAATCGAAGTCCAATGCGCCCTGTAAAAAATATTCCTCTATCTAACAAAAAAAAATTTAAGAAAATCGGACCAATCCACGAGGGGTGAGAGTTTTCCTGTAAACTGTGTTTTGACCGATATAATAAACCCTATCAACCCCCCCCCCCTAAATAGGTATTGGGTAGTAGATTAGTGGAAAAGTCTTATAGTTGAGGTGGCAACTAAAATATAAAATTTAATTTTCAAATTTTATAGAATTGCGGAAAATTTGAAAAATCGCGACCAGGCCCCTTAATTTATATTTGTTCTTTTGTAGAAAGATGAGGGAGAACCAATCAAAAAAAAAAATAAAGTTGTACGAATTAATTCAAGGACTTACAGAAGCATTTACAGCTTTATGCAGAGTATTAGAAGAAACAAATAACATAAAAGCTTGCAATATTTTAACATCATCCAAACCAAGGTACCCTTTACTTATTTACCTTTATTAAAAATGAATTTGCTACTTGAATTAATTTCTATTTTTAATTCCAAGTAAAGTGTGTTGGTTTTACTGTTTTGCAATTATGTTTTTCAAAAATAAAGCATTGTTTGTTTTCTGAAAAGTAGGTTTTAAATTTTTTTTCTAAGCTTTAAGAATATTTTGAAAAATGCAGGATAAAGCATGGGCCAAGCAAAACTTTCCTTCAGATTATTCAGAAGAAATGCAATGTTCTATTAATCCACTCAAATGTAATACCAAATTAACGCTATTGTGTGCCAAAGTTACAATATTTATTGAGTTGGGAAAGCCTCAAAAACTATTACATATCTGATTATATAGATCTTTATACATTTTACATATTAATATTACTATTATTTAGATAAAAATAATTCAATTAGAAAAGTAAATATTCCAAATATGTACATTTAAAATAATTATATTTTAATAGATAATGAATAATCGGTATTCTTGTCACGGCATACGTGCCGTCTACCACACATGTTTCTATACGTCATATGTGATCTACCACACACGGCACACGTCTTGTTGGCTATCTATGATCATTCTCAACGATTCAACGGCAAAGACGATTAAGCTTTTTCTTACCAATGTAATTTCTATATCAATAATAATAATTAGAATACTATAAAATAAAACCTGGGCCCAGAAATAATTGTGACAGAAGTCGTAAATGTATGAGATAATCAGTTAAGTATGTACTGTAATACCTATGTGATACATTATTCTGCAGTTTATACACTTTAAACATTATGTTAGCCAAACATTTCAATGTACCTAATTATTCAATCAGAGGAAAATACCATAGCTTTTTTAAAGGATAAGGGACTTATTGAAATTATTGCAGAAAACTTACTGGTTCACAGGTGTTAGTTAAGAAGGTGAAAATGGTGTTATCGAGGCAAGATACTTGTAGAAAAAAGAGACAGACATTTTGACGTGTATTGTTTTATTTAATTACTATAAATATTGTGTATCATTAAATCAAATATACTATAATTCTACTATAATTTAATTACGTATAAAAAGTATGTATGACCGCCTATGATATATAGAAACATGTGTCGTAGACGACAAGTATGCGGTAGATCGCATATGACAAGAATACCGAATAATTATGTATTTTATTCATGAAAAGGATAATCAAGATGAAAAATCTAATAAATATTAGGATTGTTATTTAGATTGTTCATTTAGCATAAAACACTCATTGTTTTACAAACTAATAATGTTTTTTAATTAAATTATAGTGTAATAACTAATAGGATTTAAAAATCTATTATTTCTACCATAAACACAATTTCAACCATCAAATTATAAATTATTTATTTATACATTTCAGAAAACAAGCTTATAAAATATTTATTTTTGTAATGTTTATTATTTGGAAAAATTATATTCCCTGTGAGTTGCATTTTATGTTAAAAGTTTTACAATAAATTATATAGTATACAATATTAAAGACAATCAACCATACACGCATTTGTGTTTATTATAGTTTTTTTAATTTTATACTTTTATAATATTAATTATAATTTACAGTTTATTACAATTTTTCAGTGAGAAAGAGGAACAACAATTAAGTTCAATTGAACTATTAGACACTGTGCCATTTAAAAACATCATCTCTGAACATGATGAGTCATATGTAAAAATTCACCCTGACCGCAAATTCATTGAAAATGATGTAAATAATATAGAGGTATGTTTATATTAATATTTACTTTAAATATTAAGACAATGCATCAAACATTAATTTTTACAGGTTTATCCAATTAAGTATCAATAATATAAAAGATAAAGACAAAATTACAGGATTTAATGTTGACATGGCAAACGTAAATAAATTATTTAAATGCCTTGGATATATTGTTCACACAAAAGCAGATTTAACTAAAAAAGTAAATAATCAAATATATAACTATATAAGTCTAAAGAATAAAAAACATAAACAAAATATAAATTCCTTACAAAACATTAACTTTTAAATTGTTTTTTGTTTGTAGGAAATAAAAAATGTTATTAATGAGTTCATGAGTATATGCCATTGTTGTTTTTATCATGTGTCATATTGTAACTGGAAAATATTCAATTAAATCATCTGGTATATTGACTGAAGATAGCGTTATCATAAATACTGACTGGTTGATTGAACAATTCTCACATAAAAAATTATCTGGAAATATACCAATGTAATTGTTTATTGATGCATGCCGGTATGGAATAAGTAATTTTTTTGTACTTTTTATGCATACCATAAATATTTCTACTTATTTTAGAGGACCAAATAGAGATTTTGGTTGGAAATACTGCAATGGTGAAAATAATTGCTCTCAAAATTATGATGCTGATATGTACCCGATTGGAACTATTTCCGACCAACGTTATAAAGATATTTTCATAGCATTTGCCACTCTTCCTGGTAAATCTTAGTTACCTATCATAAGCTCATTGAAAATAATATAATGAACAATTATAATAATTTACTTACCCTCTTACCAAAAGTTTATTAAATAGCGTACATTTTTTTTCTAGGGCATACTGCAATACGTGATCCAATAGAATGGGTCATGGTTTATACAAAAGTTGTGTCAAGTATTTCGTGAAAATACTTATAATACTGATTTGGCTAGATTGATGTGTTTGGTAAATAATACATTTTATCTTTAAAAATGATTTACACCGATATTATCACAGCAAAAGTAATATATTTTTGTCATATCCCTAGGTGGATATTGAACTAGATGAACTGAGCCGCATTGATCACAGGTCTCAAACAGCAGAATGGATATTTAGAGGTTTCGGAAAATGGTTTTACTTTAATCCAGGACTATATGAAGATAATCCAGTTAATAATATTTTAATGACTTCTTCAACCAATCCTACTGATGTTTAAGCAGAATATCATTTTTCAATTATTATTTAGTTAAGTTTATGTTAAGTCTGCAATTTTTTTTTATTACAATTATACAATTTATATTGATAATATTATATACTTTAAAGTTTTTTTTTTATTATTTTAAACGTTTTAGTTGTATCAAATATAACTTATTAGTTTAAAAAGTTTTTTTCTTTTTGATTTGCTATTTACAATTTATATTTATATTCATCATATTCATAAGTCATAACAAATACATTACATTATATTATAATAAATATTTATTATTTTTATTATTCCAAAGAAAATTGGATTAATTAAGGTTGGGACAAACATAGTGGTTGAGGCGCAACAATTGTATAGTGAGTGGTTCAATTATCAGGCTATACATACACATATATGCATGGTTAATGGTTATACCGACAAATATTAGGTTAATGAAAAATTATTTTATTTTCCAACTTACTAGTCTGAATCTTTATCACAAAAGGTTATTTAAAAAATATAGGGTAACATTACAAAATAGATTTTGATAATAATAGTAGATAATTTTTAGATTAGTTATTAATGAGATATTGGGAATTGGGATGCAAATTTGTAAGCGTCACGACGCACAGGACACGGGACGGGAGGCCGCAGATTGTGCTAGCCACTGATCGTAATATAAAATTTGTCCATTAATTCTTACATTTAACTTGTAATTTATTACTAAATTAAAAATATAAGATAAAATGTAAATTCCGTAGAGATGTTAACTGCACAATTACATATACATTTTATTATAGTCTATAATACAATACAGTCAACTCGCGATATAACGAAAATCTTGATATAACGAATAAAACTACCGGTCCCTTGAAAATATCGCGGTATAATATAATTTCGATGTAACGAACTTTCGATATAACGAATTTTTTTCTCGGTCCCTTGAAATTCGTTATATCGCGAGTTGACTGTATTATAATTATTATTTTTATATTTTACATTATAACACGTTGTGCGCTCTATTGATAGTTCTGGTGAACTAATTCATTAAGTATCATAATACAGGCAAGATGGTCTCTCTATATTACCTATCTATACTCAATAGTCAATGGTAGTACTGTCTACTAGACGACCTGATTCATTTACATTTACATAATTACATGAGCTGTTTACATGCAAGTCAATAGTCACTATCCAAACAGATTTAATTACTAAACTATTAAGTGATATCTTCATTAATACGTTTAAAAATAATACATAAGACAATTTTTAAATATACTTATACGGCTATACGGCTTTACCTATTTTTATATCAGCTTTATCTTTAGAATTTAGAGGATAGTGTACACTGTAAACCTGTAAGCTGTAGGCTGTAAGCTATAGCAGTATTTAAAAATATGTCTTAGGCAGGAGGAAATATAATATGTATTTATCCAGACTCGAGTGGGCTTCTGTTATCTGTCCTGCACCAAACAAAGTTAATAAACCAATAATACCTTGTAAGAATGCAAAACACGGGTTGTTTTGGTATTGGAGTGCTGGTTCTTTATTCTTACGTTAATGCAAATGAAATTGATTTATGTATGTTTACAATTTTTTCTTTTCATTTACAAAGTGCTCGTTGAGCCACAAATATTTAAATATTTATTTTGAATAGTTTACAATATATTCTTTTGGTTTACAATTGCTCGTGGAGCTACAAGTATTCGATGGTATATTATAAATGAGGGGTATGACTCACGTAGGTGCCTTGAACAAACAGCCGACTCTGCTGGTGGTGTTTGGGGAGGCGTATAGTACCTGGATATTACTGTCGGGCGTTGGCTCGTCCTCGACGTATATCGTACTTCTCCTAAAGTGACGTCTTTTCCCAGTAATGATGTGGTATGTGGTCGAATTGGGTTGCGGCGGCGGCGTGGTGTCTGTTAATACAGCTCGTCCTACGGCGGCGGCGGCACAGTGATGTTGCGTGATATGGTGCAGGTGGCGCGTCCTGTGATGACGGCGACGGCACTTTAAAGCTGGTGCGTACGGTGGCGGCGGCAACGGTAACGCACACACAACTAGCCGCTGCTGTTGGGCGTCGGTGGCTTGAACAGTACGTTTTTAGGCGTACCACCACCGATGCTTACCAGAGGGTGTTGTTGTGAGGGTTCTTCCTCTCCGTCGCTTTTAGTATGAGTGGCTTGAACAGTACGTTTTTAGGCGTACCACCACTCACACTGCGAGTATCGGGAGAGGGATAGTGCGGGAGACGAGAAGCGCGATACGATTTTGTTAAAACATAAACGGTTAAAACTGTGTTATGGATTATGTGGTGTTTTGAGTGTATGTCGTGACCAGTATATCTGTGGTTCACTAGTACCTTATGCCGTTTGAATTTGTGTCTTTACGGTACGTGTTTAACGTGGTTTATGAGCTGTTGTAGTGCTTATTACTCTTGGGCGGCTATGACTGTTGGTTTCGGGATTGTGTCCTAAGTATAGTCCCGGCATAGATTATACGAACTTGGTCCGCAGCTTTTGACAAAGTCGCATAATCTGATGCCGGTCGTAAAGCTTTGTTGCCGACGCGCTCTCTGTGTGGCGTCTTGGCGGCACTCTTGTTTTTACAAAGTAGGTGTTTTCTAATGCGGTTTGGTTACAACGACATCACGGTGTGTTGCATTGGTCTCTAGTACTGTTTGGGATTGATGTTTACGCTTTTCCGAACTTGTAATAAGTATTTATTACAAGTTTACTGTAAGTAGGTACGTACGTTTACCACGAGGAACATCGTGGTATCTTGATTCGTGCACAGATGGCGCCACGTATTTCATTACTAGTAAATGTATCGATAATTGTGTATCGTTACAACCTATTCGAGTTGTCTTTAGACATTTAATTTAGTAAATTCCTCCATCAAGCTGCTTAAAACTGTGAAAACTTTAAAATTGAACATTATTATAATACCTAATTAATAAACACAAAATGTTATACAAGCTGTATAGATCTGAGTAGAGTACTATTTTATGAAATTATTTATACATAATCAATGAGTTAAAAAATACCAAAGAAAAAAAATAACAAGGAAAAAATGAACAACAATTTAAAAAATATTAATACATTTAAAATCTTGATTATAATTTCATATTTATATTATAAACTATTTGTTATCCTAAAAATAGGTGGACAAGTGCCAGGTGGGTACTTTGCTATACGGTAAGCGTAAAAGGGCCGAAGGGGTCACTGACCACTGTATATACTAATGTCACAGCAAATGAATCTAGACCGTTTCATTAATACTTAACAGTATTAAATATTGGAAAATAACATGTCGCCAACTGACATAATTGAACAACTCAATTTGACATCGATGAGTATATTATATTAATATTTTTGTATGGTTGTCAGCCATACTTTACAATGTTTGGTTCAACCCATTCAACTATTTTTGCAACAAATTACAATGAACAATTCTCTAAAGTTATACAATAAAATCATAAAATATATAATTGTTACATAATTACTTACTAAAATAACATGATGGACATTAGAAATTTAAGAATTATAAAATAGTATAAAAAAATATATTTTAAAGAAGTATTTAAAAATTAAAATATATTACTTTTCTGAATTAAAATTTATAATTATATACATATTTTAATATTTTTGAATATTGTATCGTTTCTACTTAAAATGGGTGTATTTATATAATGAAAAAGTACTTAAGCCTACCTACAGTTACTAATACAGAATACTTTAAGTCTTAAACCTTAAAACCTCCATCAGTTTTTATTTTATGTATTGCCGTTTCGATTAAATTCTTTACTTCACTTTTATGTTTTATATAATGTACTATTCTATAATGCGAGTAATCGTCTTTAAATAATAAAAAAATATTTTGACCCACCAATAGATCGTCCCCTGAGACGCAATACCTCGTATCTCCAAAAGTGTATTTTCAGAAAACCCATAAAACTTGATGATAAAACTTTGTATATAGTTCAAAATAACTTTTTTTTTAAACTTTTTTTATTGCGTCTTAACCGTCAATATTAACTTTTTATTGGTCCACTTAATCAGCATGTTTTATAGTATTACTTCTACTTCAACTGTTATGTTCGTTGTACTAGACTTAAATATTTGTTTTAGATTCTGAGTGAAACGATGAATGTACTGATTTTACAATGATGTGTGTTTTTTTTATTTTTTTTTTAATTTTTAATTTTTTTTTATGTCTGTCATCACTTTTTAGGACAGTAAAAGTGCTTGGATTTTCTTCAACATTAGCTTTTCTGATAGGAAAGTGAATCTAGTTGGTACTTTGGGGGGTCAAAAGCAAACATTTCATAGTAGTTTTCACAAGCGCCGGGAAAAACAACATAAAAATTAAGGAAAAACGGGAATTTTTACTCAAAATCGGTTTTCCAAAAAATTGATTTTGGTTTTTGGTGTAACTCTAAAACAAATGAACGTATATACATGAAATTTTCACTGGTTGTTTATATTTTCATTTTCTATACACGATAACATTTTCAAAATATTTTGATTTATTTTGAACTGTTTAGGGACATTTTCATTTTCCATTTTTTTTTAGTTTTTTTCTAAAAATATCAATTAAATTTTATTTGTTGGTTGCGAAAGCTTGAAAATTTAATAGAAGGCTCCTAGTATATTGTTTCAAAGGCAGATGAAAAATATTAAAAATCCTTAATCACAATTTCTTTTTATAAGCATTTAAAGTTCAAAAATTGACAAAATTATTTTGAGTTAAGAATTCATAAAAATTTTTCTTTTTAAATCTAAGATTTGAAAATGTAATACACGATTACTTATAAGATCATCTACCTTTATCAAAAAAAAAATGTCTATAAGAAAGTCAAATTAAATTTTTATGAGCGTTTGAAATTCAAATTTTTACAACATTGGATATTCAGTCGATTTCTCATGTAGCGATTTCCTTATTTCGTTGTAATACAAAAACGAATAACTGTAGATACATGAAAATTTCACTGAATGTTTATAGGTATTAGCAATTCCTATACACCATACAATTTTGAAAATATTTTGACTCTTTTTCAGCTGTTTACGGACATTTACAGCTTTCAATTTTTTTTAGTTTTTTTTTCTATAAAATATCAATAAAGTTTTATCTGTTGGACCAAAAAGTGTAAAAATTTAATACAAGGCTCCTGATATATTGTTACAATAGCAGTTGAAAAATATTAAAATACATAGGCACAGTTTTTTTTTATAAGCATTTAAAGATCAAATTTTGATCAAATCTCTATCAAGGCACTCTAGTATAACATAATGTAATATGTAATTTATTGTTTATATCATAACATAAGAAGATTTTATTGAACGATAGTCGATAACAATTACGGCATTACGCCAAAACGTCTATCGACTATTTGCGGTGTACCCGTAGCCCGTAATAGCTTATAAATTTCTTTCGCCAATCAGTAATCTGGTAAATAGAAAAACTATCTATATGGAACAAGCAACATTTACAAATTTGTCAGTTATTAATATTGAGAGGGATCTAAGCACAAAAATTGATAAAGATAAAATAATAAATAATTTTGGTATGTCTGATATAATATTTAAATTGAAATAAAAATGTATTTCTCTGTATAATTCTCTCACTTTTATCAACATAAATCTAGCACCCCCATAAATTTAGCCCAAATTGCACCTACGAGTATAATACAAATTAGTTAGTAATCAAGTTATTTGTCAGTTATCCTATTCTGCGTAGAGGAAAATAAATCCAGCATAACATTATACATTTATATAATATGGTCATTGACTAAAACTTTTAAAGAGAAAAAAAAAATAACCATAGGTAATAATATGATGTACCAAGGGGTGAATCCATAATACAATCCTATTTTTAGGGATTCAGTGTAAATGGGGGGGATTTAAGTGCATTTATATCATGGGGCACATTATATCAGCTACATAACCTGCGAACAAAGTCTGTGCACGCCTATGGTTATTAGACTTTTAATAGAAATTCAATTGATGTATGATCAATAAGTACCCAATTATATTATATTCATTTTTCTTTATAATTTTACCTAATTTATAAATTCTAATTTTAAGATAACATAATATTATTATAATATATTTTAATTTATTTCACTTAATATAAATGTGTTTTTTTAATTTACAGTGAGAAATCTCAATAATACTCATAATAAAGTCTTTGAGTTGAGTGTTAATTCAAAATGGAAAAATGATCCAGCAATATTTAAAGCTATTAAATTTACTCCAGATATGATTAATTTAATACTGAGTTGGGGACCATGTCAGCCAAATTATAATGAAATGCCTGATAGACAATTTCCAAAAAATGAAATGAAAAAGTTAGTATAATGTTTTATTTGTGTTGTATTTTGAATTTATATAATTAGTAATTACCCAATTCTTTAATATTTTAATTTAGTTGTTTTTATAGTAATTTTTATTAAAAGGCTTATAAAATGTTTTCAAAATATTTTGAGTATAGATCATGTATTATTAAATAATTTATTGAAATACATACTTTATAAATTTTAATGAGATAACTAATTATGGATTTGTAAAATAAGATTTCTATTTCATAGACGTAGCATATAAGACAAGTGACAACCAATATAAATTAATAATATAATGAAACCAAATTATATTATATTATAAAGTGATCAAATTGGCATTTCTATAAATCACCTATTAAATTTACATTTGTCCATAAAAATTTAAAAGTAATGAGTAGGTATGTAAAAAAAAAACATAACATAACCAACTCCTAAAGTCGTATTTTATATTTTAAAACATTTTTAAACATTATATTAAATTAATATAATAATGTACCTAATTAAAAATTTCAATTTTAGGAGTTTTCATGAAAATTGGTATCATAAAAAACTTGGTGATGGAACAATGGTACGTAGAGACTGGTTAACATACTCTCCATCAGAAAACAGGGTATATTGTTTACATCCTCAAAAAGCATGGATTCATGATGGATTCCAACAATTTAAAAATGGAACTATAGCTTTGTTGGCACATGAAACTAGTTCAGTTCACGTGGATGCCACTCTTCAAGTCAAATTGAAAAAATCTGTTTTGCCATTAATACCTTCTATAATAGAAGAACAAAGAAAGGAAGTAGCTTTTAATAGAGAAATTGTAAGTCAACTCGTAGAAGTCACAAAGTTCCTTGGACAACATTCACTCGCATTTAGAGGTCATCGAGAAAATTGGTCAAGTATCATCAAAGGAAATTTTAAAGACTTGCTTTTGCTTCTGAGCAATCATTCTCCTGCGTTTTCTGTCCATATTGCAAACATCAAGACACATTCTAGAAAAACATTATCTTTCATTAGTTGGGATCGTCGAAATTTATTGATTAATGCAGTATCCCAAGAAATAGTTTCTTTTATTAAATCAGAATTGAATAATGCACGTTTTTTTTAGCATAAGTATTGATTCAACATTTGATATCTCTAGAAGAGAACAAGTATCGTTCATTGTACGATATGTTGAGAATTCTGGAAAAATAAATGAACGATTACTTGCAATGAAAGATTCAGCAGAAACCACTGGACAAGCTCTTTTCAATTTATTTTCAAAAGTAATGGATAGTCACAATATTGATTGGAAATCATATCTCATCGGACAATCATATGATGGTGCAGCAAGCATGCAGTGGAAATACAATGGGTTACAAACAAAAGTTAAAGAATTATGTCCTCAAGCAACTTTTGTGTGGTGTCATGCTCATCGTCTTGATTTGATTGTGGTTTCAAGTGTCGGATCTTGTTTAGCCGCTATGAATCTATTTGGTAATCTAGAAAAGGTGTTTGTGTTTATTAGCTGTAGTAAAAAACGAAACTTTCTGTACCGTGAAAAACAAAAAATCTTGTACCCCAAAGCAAGGATACGAGCAATAAAAAAAGTGGAAACTACGAGATGGATGTCACAGTCATATGCACTTGCCACTGTCCTTACGACACTTGATGCAATTTTAGATACATTAGATGAAATAAAAAATGTTGAAGGTCAAGTTGATTTCAAAACTGGCACTGAATGCAATGGGTTGATTGAATATTTACAGTCTTTTAATTTTTTACTTACTGCAAATATCTTTAGTAAAATTTTTAATTATATAGAACCTGTGAGTAAAGCACTTCAAGCCCACAATATTGATATAATCATGGCCATGGACATGTTAACAAAAGCACAAAAGAATATTGAATCACTTCGAAATGATGATATGTTCCAAAATATTTATGAATCTACTAAAAAAGATGGAAAGGTATATAACTTTGATTTACAATTAAGTACTAGTTCCAATAGACGAAGACGAGTCCCTCGACAATATGACGAAAAATTAAGAGATCAAGCATTAGAAGATTCTGTAGTATCCTACAAAGTAAATACATACTTTGTAATATTGGATATTATCTCTGCAGATTTAAAAAAAAAGATTTAATGATAATTACATTGAAGTTGCAAAAGATTTGTATTTGTTAACCCCAAAATGTGTTTCAAATATAATGGAAAAATCAAGTTTTCCATTAGATGCTTTTGTTTCAATCTGTAATGTTTACAACAAATATTTAGTCAGAGAAGATGTTATTCGAGAATATAGACAATTTATTAAATCCAAAATTAATTTAAATTCTGGGATTATACCTGATTTTGTACATCCTATACCTGAAGAAAACTCTGATTTATCTGATAATGAATCATCTAGTGATGAATCTGAATACGTTTCTGAAATTATTCATAATGATAATTACGAGAGTATGAGCATCATAAAGATGTACGAGTTATTTGTAAACACTGGACTTATTACAGTATTTCCAAATTTATTTACAATATTAAAAATAGGAGTAACACTGCCAATTTCAAGTGCGTCCCCTGAACGATCCTTCTCCAAACTTAAAATCGTCAAAACTAGACTTAGATCAACTATGTCGCAAAATCGACTTGAAGACCTTATGCTGATTTCCTGTGAGACTGATGTTGATATTAACACTGAAAATGTTATAAACAACTTTGCAAGAAAATCGCCTGTTTTAACTAAATCATTAATGTATCATTTATGATTTAAGTGTGATTTATGTTAATCTGTAGGTTCTTTCTATATAAAATAAATTTAACATTGATGATGATGGAAATATTTATAACTGAGTTGTGTGTCCTTTAAGTAATATAATAGATAATATTATATATTTTTACTAAATACTAAGTTTTATAAACTATGTGTTATGACAAGTGATGACATTTAATGTATTATATTATATTAAATACAGTTTTACAACTTACTATAACTTGAAGTATACATATTTTTAAAGTAGATATGACACTAATGGAAAAAAATAGTATTTATTTATAGATACATATAGTAATAATAAAGAGCAATTAAATAGGTAATTAAATAAATTGCATACAAATATAACACAGAACGACAAAACTAAATAATTAAGATAAAAATAAGTAATTTTTGCAAAATAATTGGTGGTTGTAACTTATGAGGGATCACTAATATTGGGGTGGGGTGGGTGTTAAAATTTAAATAGGGTGGTTGTTGACCAGATCATTCAAAATGTGGTTCGGCGCCACTGGCTAGGTATAGAAAAAAGGTTAAGCGATCATTTGAGTCGGGAGGTTCGGCACTACAGTGGATGTTCGGTATTGCCGATGCTGACGATGTACGGAGGTATGATAGTTCGATTAACCAAAGAGATATGATACACATAGTTCAGGACTAAGTTTCTATTTTAAGGAGCACAATAACAAATTTCAATGAAACCATAACAAAATTTAATGACAATAAATTATTATTTGACTAAAATATTAAAAAAATTGTAACCTCTATTAACAACATAAATATTGAATTAGTAGACGAAAAAAATCAAATTATTGTTCTAAGATTAATATCCCTAATTGAAAATAATATATTTGAATTAGATATATTTGTAACGAGGTTACAAATAATGATATCAAACGTTCAAACCATTGAACTATATAATAACTGGAACGCTCACCGCCCATATGACTAATGTAAATAAAACCGAGCGAGTGTGTTAGAAAGAGATAGCGAATACTTTAGGTATTTCTATCTCTGTCTTTATTGATAACACGCCGTACTGTATTCATTTTCAATGTTTACCGGCATAAAATATATTGTGATTTGTGAATTTTGTGATCGACGTCCGTCAATTTCAGTTTTTTGTTCTTTCTGATAGAATTGACGTGTACCTACCTATATTCTAGTCTATAGGTACAATGGTGAATTTTTGTAGTGCGTTTAACTGTTCCAGTTCAAGTGATATTAAAACTGAGTTAATATTTCACAAGTTAGTATTAATGTTAATTGTGGTTGATTATTAAGTAATTATACCTATTTATTGTACTATTAATTTAAGTTATAGGCCCCTATATAATTATATAAATTATTTAACTTTGTATATTAATCAGGAAAGAAGAGGAAGAAGTAATGTATTATTTTGTTTCAATCAAATTTAAATTGTTTATTATATTACAAGAAAAATGTCAGGATGAAGATACAAATCCTTAGAGGCAGTGCTAAACCTAGAAATCAGGAAAGAAGAGGAAGAAGTAATGTATTATTTTGTTTCAATCAAATTTAAATTGTATTTTATGTTACAGGAAAGAAGAAGAATATACAAATCCTTCCAGGCAGTGTGGAACATAGAATACAATTTTGGGGAGGTTTTGTATCATAAATACCAGGGGAAAAACTAGGGGGGAGGTTGTGACTCCCTGACATTTTTATATATGAGCCTAAATTATTTTCTAACATGCATCATCTATAAATAAATGCTAAACAATTTAATTTGTAATTTTAAGATTTTAATCATAAACCCGACTTAACCATAATCCCTCTTCAGCACCAAACACCTGCCGAAAATGAATTTTTTTCAAATTATTTATCTTCCTATCTCCCCCCCCCCCCCAGTACAGCAAATATTTTATATAATATTATTAATTATTACATTTAAAATTTTTTCATAAAAACTAATACATTTTGAATGGAAAAACAAATATATAGTTAGGTATTTCATATTTTAGACATTAATTGTATTTCATTCTGTTTCTGTATATTACATTTTTTAAATAAATAAATAAGTAAATAATTTAAATATATCAACAACAGAGTTTTATTGCTAAAAAAAATATTAATTGGTTGTCAATTTATTAAGCGGACAGTTTAATTTCCGAATGCAGGTAAGATTTAATGCTAATTAATCCAAATATGCATCGTATTATATTTATATATACGTATATTTTTATTGAAAATAAATATCTCGTAGTTCAATAATTATGATTCAAGCGTCAAGCCGCATAAATAGCGATATAAAATAAAATTGTGCTTTGGCGCCGTATGTTAAACAAGGATAGATACCTACTCCTAATATATACGCTATCTCTTTTTAACATCCTCGCTCGGGCCATACTGCGTGGTGAGCGTTCCAGTTATTATATAGTTCAATGGTTCAAACCATGAACATTAGAGTAAGGACACCGATCTATACAGATAAAAGAGGGACTAGATATGTAGCATCCGTTAGAGCGCGCTGCAGAACGCCAGTCATACTACTGTAACATTAGAAGCATAGGAACTTTTGTGGTCTTTAGTCATTTTATCCTAAATTATAAAACTTATGACCAAATATTATACAACACAATTTAAAGAGCAGATCAGTTTCAATAAAAATAATAAAAATTTAAATATAAATGTTGTATATTATTGATTATTTGAACTAATTAATTAAAAAAGCATATGAGCTTATTAACAACATTAAACATAATAATATTATTATTTATTACATACATAGGCGTATAAAAAACAAAATCGTGTAAGTAGGTAATAAAATAATGTAAATATGGCTTAGCATTAGGTGCTTAAGCCTTAAACTAACTTTGCAGACTTTCTATGAAGTTTTGATTTTTCTTTCTTTGCATTGTCTATAGAATTGGATCGAGAACAAACAAAATGTACCCTTGTTATAAGAAAGAAGTTAACTATAGAAGATGTTAAGCCATCTGCATGGAGATCACATCCAATAAGTTGTAGTGACTCTATCTGTTCAAGTTTAGAACAAATGCTAAATAGTACTTCACTGCTAAGTCCTTCTTCATTTAAAACATAAAGCGTCGCAGCCTCCATAGTACTTATTAATTTAAATAATTTTTCCGATGGTTTTATTAGATGTCCATGAGATAATTTATCAATGAAAACATCTCTTGAATATCTATACAGGGTAAAGCTAATATTTTTTTTGTACGAAGATGTTCATAAACTTTTCTACTATTTATTTTAACCAAAAGGCATTCATAAATCCAGTTAATAGAATAACGATTTCCTTTAGGATCTTTTAATTTAGCAGCAGCAAGACAAGCACGTACTGCTTCTTGCTGACTTTCAGGCAACCTGGTTAATTAATTTTCAATTACTGCAGCAGATGCAGTAGCACACTTCTGTTTTAACAAACCTACCTTTTCTTTTAACTTTAACACCTAGAAAAATATAGCTAGTTAAGTATTTTAGGTTAATAAATTAAATTAAGTTTTTATTTATTAAATAATCTAATATAAAGAAAAAGGAAAATTAAACATATAATTAGAGAACATGTGGATAATAATATTATAACTTATAACTTAATATATATATTAATAACTTATAACTATATATACATTAATAACTTATAACTATATATACATTAGATACTAACTTATATATATATTAGAGTTCTAATGTTCATGCTTATAACAATTAGAGCAATAAATACAATAATTAGTGTTGAAGTACACAGACATACAGAAGCTTAAAGTAAATAATAAAAATATCATATATATTAATATAATAATTATGAGTATAATGATTCAGTATAAAATAGGGTGTTACAAGGCATAATATATTATGACAAAAAAATACAGTATATATATATCATATTTTTACTCAAATACTTTACAACACTCCAAAATTACATACTTTATTATTAAGTCTGCTATTCTTTCGAGTAATGTTTTTGACTCTACCTATGCTTTTCTGTTTCTTTAATTTTTTTTTTATTTCTCTCTGTCTTAAAGTATATATTCTCTGAAGATCTATAATATTTTTTCTTTCTTTAGCGCATACAGTGCAACGAGAATCTGTAAATGATGTGCCTGGTTTCTTTGCATCAACATAACCATAGCATGCAACTGATTGTGGGCTATAAAAATATAAGTAAAAAATTATACAAACACAAATTAACAAACTATTATTATACTATCAAGGTATTATTATACCTTTTATCAAGACCAGTGCCACTGCAAGCTTGTAAATTATTTACTATAGCTATAATTTTTTCAATATCTTCAAAGTCTGTAGCAGTTTGCATTATTCCTTCAACATTCACTATGACTTTGCTTACAAACACCTAAAATATAGTAATTGCTAAATACTCCCTTTATAATACCTATGATTGAATTGTAAATATAACATTACACCTACTTGTATGTTAAGATTATCTTTATAAATGATAATTTTTTTGAACACTGTATCCTTGTCATTATTAAACCATCCAATAACCAAATCATCTTTTACCATGGAAATAAATGTGGCATCAGGTAATATGGTACTTTTCAATTGATTCACAATATTGTAAAATATATCATATTCGATAATTGTAGTATTAAATGAACTATTGAGGTTAGGAGTTTCAGCATTATTAGATTTTGTGTTCAAATGTCGAACTTGGGGTTTTCGTATTTTTTTTATAGAAGATAAGTAATGTGGTAGATCTGGAAACAATGACGGTACTGCATTTTCTTTTAAACAAATTCTATCCCTTTCAATTTGTTGGATTGAACCATCTGCCATTACATTTTCAAAATATTTTATCAGACTGGTTTCAGCAAAATGCTTTTCACACACACGGTCTATCCCTGATCTCAAATCTCGATCTGATCGTGGAATTGCTTTAACCCATTGTGCTAAGACTTTAGGATCCTGTAAAAAGTAGAATATTTATTGTATAGGTAAGATTATAATATAGGTAGGTAGGTACTTTTGCTTGTTGGCAATCAATTAGTTATATAATATTGCATAATAATATATTATAGTAGTATAGTACAAGTATGAGGTACATAGACGGAGATTGAGGGGGGGGGCAAAATAAATAATTTTAACTTTGAGCCCTTCTAAAAAACATGCTACCAAAACCAAACATTAAAGTCCCCCTTAATATGTCATAGGATATCCGACTATGATGAGGTACTTGGTATACATGTATATTGTGTATGGCACATCTTAGTAACTTACAACATTATTCTTAACTCATAAGTGTATCACGTCACAATTTAGATTAAAATTATGGTTATCCTAAATTCTAATACTATATTAAAGTATGATAATATATTTAAACATAGTTTACCTTAGGTGCTTTAAACAATGTTTTGTTTCGAATTCCCAATACCTTGTTAGTAGACCTGGTAGAGGGGTATCCTTCTTTACACAACGTGACAAAACAATTTCGTGACATGTTTAAGTCTTAAGGAGACAAATTAAAAAACTTCTTACCATATACAAGAATACTATAATTTAAGAAATGCTATAAGAATGCTTCTTACTAGTTATTTTAATAAAAAACCACGAAATGTCCTATGGCAGTTGTATAAAACGAGTATGACTACTACTCCGTAGCGCGCTCTAGCGGAAGCTACAAATTCGGGACCATTTTTTTTCTGTCCAGCCGGCCGTGATCGGTGTCCTTACTCTAATGTTCATGGTTCAAACCATAGACATATAAAAGAATGGACCGCGCATATCATATCCCAGTAGTGTATTTGGTTGAGTCAAAGATATGTGCGAGAGAGACAGACTTATGTTAGAATTCCCAAAGACATTCCAACCAAAATATTTTATCGTCCTTGAATATTTATATATTTTTTTAATGATAACGACAACCAACGAATGATAACATTTTAAAATCATTCCCCGCGTTATAGCATTTTGTTTATTTGGTTAAAACTTATGTTTTGAGTTATAAAGTTTAAATTTTAAAATTAAAATGGTTCTTATGTGCTCTGTGAGAAGCTGTAAAACCAAACATTCCAAGAATTCTGACATAAAGTTCCACAAGTAAGTACTACCTGTAATATAAGTAAGGTTTACATTATAATTAAAAATGATACACATATTATATCTAAGTTCATAAATAAATTACCTTTTAATCCATATAGGTTTCCTACAAATGAAGAGTTGAAAAGCAAATGGTTATTAGCCATTAATAATGAAAGTTGGTTTGTGCCATCCCAGCATTCTGTTGTATGTAGCAAACATTTTGATATAGGTGATTATCAAACTAATGCTTTGGGGAACAAGAAGCTGAAAATGAATGCTATCCCAAAATCAACAATCATTCGTAGATCTTTACTTGAAGGTGAGAACAAATTACTGAAGTTAGGAACCTGCAATGTAAGTTAATTATATTTTACTAAGACACAATATATATATTTTAAATTAGATTTCGAGGTACTTCATCATTCAAAAGACAACGACAGTGACGGAACTATATTTGATTCAAATGATAGTGATGGTAAAATTAATATTGAATCCAATATTATGTTTTTTCAATTATTGTAAATAATATGTAAACATTTTTTAGTTATAGTGAACACTGGAGTAGTCAATGATTTTGTAGAAGATGGTATATTATTGTCAGAAATATCAAATAATTCTAAAGTGGATCTTGAAAACTCAGTTGTACAACAGCAACATGAAGAAAATAATATTAGTATGAATTCATCAACCTCAACAAAAACACCTCCACAAAAGTATTATATTTTTTTTTTCAATTGTTTTTATACAATTTTTTTATGTACTAAAAAATGAAAATTTTTAGGAGAAGAAAACTATTTCGTTACTTGGGAGATTATGAAGAAGAAGATTTGGAAACCCCTAGAAAGAGGAAAATGTTTTGGACTGTTTATAAAAAAACCTTAGAAAAAAAAGCCAATACTGAAAGACTGTTAAGACAAAAAAATCATAGATTGCAAGCTAAAATAAGGACATTAAATACATTAATTGATAGTTTACAAGCCGATAACAAAATTACAGCCAATTGTTCCAATATTTTGACGGTAACTTAAAACTAAAACCTTCAACCTTCATCTACCTATCTTCATCTCAAAAATATACAACATAGCAAATTTATTTAAGCTAAATTTGGTATGTTGTCAAGACAACAAAAACTAAGTTTTACATTATTTAACTATTATGTTGGTGTGCTTACAATATGCTAAATAATTATCATAACTCGCTTTAAAATTAAAATATAAAAAAAAAACCTATGAGATTCACAAAATCAGTAGTCGGGAATAGGCGGCTCACAGCCAAATCCGGCCAGTGGAGGAGAATTAACTGGACCGCCAGAAAATTCAATTGCCGACCCCTGCACTAAATAATATTCTTATTTATAAATTTGATAATAATTATTTGAGATTCATGAGAATGTACCTTACTCAGTCTGTGCGCACGTGTGTTGAATGCTGAAATATTATATATAAATATATATAGCATAAGATATTAAAATATATATGTAAGCAACTGCATACTTATTAAATAAAAATTCTTTCAAAACTATTATGTATATTTATTTATTTATACAACCTTCATGATACTATCTCCTTACAGTGGCATGACGTGGAGAACGGTAATTTCAGAGGCAATTGCCTCTGAGATTTTTCTTAAATAGAGGGTGGGTGGTAGTCAGTGGGCCCCCTAGTAAATGTATACACTATATATTATAATATGATATTCTCAATAAGTAGTCAATAACTTTCTGAAATATAATTAGTTATATTATCTTAATACATTATTATGCATTAATACTTGGGATATTTGTAATTTGCCTCTGGAAAATTTTTAGTTCGCCACGTCACTGTCTCCTTATAATATTTTATGATTAAGCTATGAATTAAAATCAATGTATTTACTTACTATAGTGTGCAACAACAGAAGAAGAAAAGCATCTCCTCATGCGTCAACTAAGTCTGTCATCTAAAACCATCAGTCCAGAATTACGGAAATTTGCTCTAACATTACATTTTTATTCCCCGAATGCTTATGACTATGTTCGTAATATATTCAACAAATCTTTACCACATCCAAGTACAATTAGAAAGTGGTATGCAACAGTAGATGGCCGTCCAGGATTGACATCAGAATCATTAAGAGCTATACAGATTAAAGTTCAAGAATTTCAAGAAAGTGGAAAACAATTAATTGGAGGACTAATGTTAGATGAAATGTGTATAAAAGAAAATATTCACTGGACTGGATCACGTTACCAGGGTTTCATTGATTACGGTCCGGGTAGCATAAATGAAATGGATAATTTGCCATATGCCAAGGATGCATTAGTAATTATGGTTGTGGCATATAATGCACATTGGAAAATAGCAGTTGGCTATTATCTTATTAATGGTTTATCTGCAGAAGAAAAAGCTAATATAATAAGAACATGTTTATCACAATTACATTCAACAGGTATTTTAATCAAGTCACTTACATTTGATGGAGCTTCCAGTAACATAGCCATGGCAAAGGTATTGGGTGCTAATATACATTATCCATACTTACAAAGTTCTTTTGATCATCCTGAAACCAATGAAAAAGTACACCTTATTTTAGACCCTTGTCACATGCTTAAATTATGCAGAAATACTCTAGGAGATTGGGGATTGTTATTGGATAATGAAGGACAGCAAATCAAATGGTCATATTTTAATGCACTTGTTAATATACAAAATAAAACAGGATTACATTTAGCTACAAAAATTAGATCACAACATATCAATTATACCAAAGAAAAAATGCGTGTCCGGTTAGCTGTACAAACCTTCAGTAATAGTGTTGCAGATGCGATTGAATATTGTATGAATGATTTGAAGCTACCCGAGTTTCAAGGAGCAGAAGCAACAGTTAAATTTTGCCGTTTAATGAATAATATATTTGATGTACTGAATACTAGGAATTTTTTAAGTAAAAACACATACAACAAACCTATTAATGAAAACAATAAACAAACAATTATACAATTCATGAATGAAGGAATAGTGTACATAGAAAAATTACAATGTCTTGATAATAAGTCAAATAATGTAGTAACTGTAAAATTATTATTACAATCAAATAGAAGAACAGGATTCGAAGGATTAATATTATGCCTTAAATCTTTAATAAATTTAACTTACGATCTTATTAATGGTGGTTATCTTAAATTTATTTTAAGCTACAAGTTCAGCCAAGACCATGTGGAGATTTTTTTTTCTGCTATAAGAGCTAAAGGAGGCTTCAATAATAATCCGACGGTAACTCAGTTTGAAGCTGCATATAAAGCACTTCTAGTACATGCTGAAATCAAATCAAGCACAAGTGCTAATTGTCTTGCGCAAGATGGTACAAGTATACTAAAAATATCAAGTTTAAAAAAAAAGTCACCAACCAAAGATCAAGATATGGTACTTGATTTATTATGTGCAGCTGGGAGTCAACATATTGTAGAAGATGAAGATGAACTATTAACAGTATACCAAAATTCCAATTATATTAAAGATGTGGTGGGGTATATCGCTGGATTTGTGGTGAGATCCATTTTGAAGCGTATTCAGTGTGAAGTTTGTGCTAAAGAAATAAAATCACATGAAACAAATTCACTATTACTGAATAAAAAAAATAGAGGTGGTCTTACAATGGCCAATGCTGATGTAGTTAGTATATGTCAGGTTGCAGAACGTACAGTCAGAGAATATTCCAAAAAATCTAACCACATAAGTATTGACTATTTGGTATTAAAATCAATATCAATGTTATGTATAGATAACTTCAAATGAAATAGACCAAAGAGTAAGAAGGTTATTTACTAAACTAATCCATTTTAAACACCAGTGAAAAAAATACTGTAAGGAAATACTTTGTTTCAAAATATTATTGTATTGAGTTTAATTTTTAAGGAACTATCACTATTGTAAAATAAATTAGTTGTTACACTTAGTTATTTGTTAATTTGTTATGAAGCTAAAAAATATATTGACTAAGTTTATAAAATGTTAATTTTTAAATAAACTATTATTAATAACTAAACAATAAAGCACCATTTTTACTTACTTTTGTGATAATATAATATAGCGTATAATATAATAATTATAGTGGTAGTAACTGGTAAGTATAAAGTAACTTACTTACCTTAATCTTGAAATATTCACAGATTACAGACATACTAGATTAAAATATAATACTGCCCAAAACAATACAGGTATACTGGTATACAGAAATAGTCAAATAGAACTACTTCAATAGCTCAATAATAATATTATGTAATGGCACGAAAATAAAATATTTCAAAGACTAATTAATATATTTTTGCTTATATCGTCTTTGGTATTTCTAACATAGCCCTTTCTCTCTCGCACATATCTTTGATTCACGTATCTCTCTCTATGCGCGGTCCATTCTTTTATATGTCTATGGTTCAAACCACGGTATATTATAGAGGTATTAGCACGAGCCTATGTATGCAATGTTACTGTATGTCCGTTCGTTTGTGCATAATTCAGTACTGAACGAGTAGAGCGCGCTGCAGTCATTTACCCCTATTTTTGTTGTCGAGAATGAGAATAATAATAAATAGTAGTAATAGTTAATAGGTATGCATATTATCTTATTTACTAGTTTCTTATTTTTATTTAACTAATTTTTCAATTAATTATTACAGCATTTTAACTGTTGTCTGTTTTTATTATAATAAAATGTTAAAGATAATACCTATATTATATTATAATAAAATGTTAAAGATAATACCTATATTATATTATAAAATAATGTTTATACTATGGTATATAAATACATAATATTATTATAATTATTACTTATTTAAGGACACATCTAGATATCATTCTTGTTAATAGCTTGTGCTTACATATACTTTTATGATTGGTAGACTTTGGCTTCTTTCTTCTTACTTTTGCTTTTTTTTTTTTGGTTCCTGTTTTGTTCTCTTTCATAGTGTCTCATTCTCATTCTTATATAATAATGAAGACAAGAAGCAATAACATTAGATTTATGTTCTTCACATGGAAAATTCATTTGAACATTTAAAACCATATCTGTCATAGTTCTTTCATAACAATCACTTTGCATAACATTAATTACAAAATATTCTTCCGCTTTGTGAAATAGTTTATATAAATACAAATTACAATACATCAAATATCCTTTTGTTTTCTTATTTACAAGTTCTGCCACTGCCAACTTAGAAGTTTCTAGGTTGGTTAAAAAAGATCTTTGACAAATTGTACAACTTGTTTTTATAAGTCGCCTACATAGATATCCTGATGCATAGTATATTGCAATATCAACTACTTCAGGATTAGATATATAGGAACTATTAGAAGCAATTTCATCTTCCTCATCCCACTGTTCACACTCTATTATTGAGTCCAAACGAATTTTTAACCGTTGCAGGGCTGTATTTGAGGGGTTATCGTTGTCAAATATGTTTTTGAACTCTTCTAAACTCAATGTTCCATTATTTGTATCGTCCTCTGATATAGTGCAGTTACCGAATTTGGGTGGTTTTAATAATTTATAAGTTGATAGAAGTCTATATAGCTGTAAAAACGTTGGCATCGCTGGATGGTCATTTTGGCAACCAGCTTGACGGACTGTTCCAAAAAATTTCTATGAAAAAAAAATGTATGAAATTAATACTTATTATTATTAAAATTATAAAATAAAACCAAAAACCAAGAGAGCTTGTATTTTGTATTTTTAGTAAATTTTCAATTCCAGCTTGTAGTTGTACAAAAACTATTTTAAAATTATCTAACAAGCATTTATACTTTGCGTAAATTCTACCAATATACAGTTATTAGCAGTATTACATATAGCTAATAAATAATAATAGTTAATTTAGTGAACAAATCAATATTCTGCAGTGAAGCGTATCATATATATAGCATATCAAATTATTAAAAAAAACAATGTAGCCCTTTAGCTATAGCAAAATAAATTGTCTTTTATGTGAACAAATTCTCAAAAAAAAATACTTAAGAATACCATCCACAGAATATTTTTTGTTTCCCTTTTGTATAGGGTCCCAATTTTTGATATCACTGAAACACAATAAAATGATTTACATATCTAAATAATTTAATATTCAAATGAAAATTATTATGACATATTATGTATTTGTGAATTTATTAATTAAAATTACCTCTAATTGGTCTTGGTTTGCCTTTGCGGTTAACACATAATCAAAACCTATACTAAGTAGGTATTCTATCAGATCAATTGTAGAATGTAAAGTCACTCGAAGGCCTTCAGAAGTTTCTTTTGTTAAAAAACTTCCTTTAGGTATTATACCACTTGACATTTCTGTTTCCCATGAATCAAGCCACTCTATTCCATTTTTTATAACCTATAGTGTTAAAAGAGTTAAAAAAAAATATTTGATGCCAACATTGTTAATTTCATTAAAACTCACTTTAATATCTGGACTATTAAATTTAATTCCTTCTCCTGGATATTTTCTGTTCAAGCTATCAAATAAATTGTTCATGTGCAATACAAATTTTGATGTAGGTTCACTATCTTCTAACTCTTCAACTAGCCTTTCTCTATATAAATTGAGTCCAACACTAACAGATTTGCTAAAAACCTAGAAAATATCAAGTATTTAATATATATTTAAAAAATAAGTGAAATAGCAAAATATTCAATATAGTAAATACTAAATAGTGTAGCATTACTTGGGTCATCAATGAAACTCTCATTTTTGCAAATGAACATGGATATATATGAGATTCTGTTAATTTTGGACAGATTCTTACATTACCCACAGATTTTTTATCCTCTTTATGTAACACAACAATATGTCTCCAACGAACTAAGCCAAAACTTGTCTAATGTAAAAATAAAATGTTAAAATTATAATTTATATATAAACATTTTAAAGTAAAAAATAAGGGTTAGAAACTTAATTCATACCATAAGTTCATTAGAGATAAGACGATTTCTAACACATTTAAATAAATGTGGAACATCTGAAAGGACAAATATTTTCCTTGAGTCATCATAGGGGTTTTTAAATGAATTTTTCATTTTACCAAGCTCCCCTGATATACCAAATTCTTGCCACATACGTCTGTTTGGTTTAGCACCATCACACACTAAGGCGGTGACTTTTGCACCTGCATATTCTAACATAAGAATGGCTTGGACAATTAGTTTGGCAAGAATAACTCCAGCAGTTGCACCTTTTGCTGCAAAACATCCAATTGGCTGAAAATTGTTTTCATAGAGGGAGGAAAATCCAAATACTAGAGCATGATCAGCTAATGAATTATTATCCGTACTGTATACATCATCATCATTACCAAAATCAACCACACCTTGATATCTTAAACTTTTGGGATCTAATTTTAATGACTTACGGACACTCATCTCATCAAATATTAGTACACCATGTTTCTGTTGTTCAGATTTTGCCTCCATTTTCTTTTTAAAAGCTTCAAAAAATTGTTCATCAAACCCACAGCTAAGCTTCACACGACTAAGTTGCCTTTTTATGGTTTGACTACACGGGAGGGGTAATATTTTATTATTTAATATGTAATTGTACAAAGCAGGACCACGTATATGTAATAGAATACAAGTCAAGAGCCAATCATTAGAATATCTTCTGCTTGTTTTTGCATTATATTTTCCAACACGCATACATTCTCTAATTGCCATTGCTTGAGAGTAGGGCAAATTTAGACGTTTTATGTGATCGTCCACAGTGTTTTCAGAAATGTCAGTTAACTGTTGTTGTAGTGTATGCAAAGTACTATTCAATTGTCTATTTTTGTACAAGAGTCTTAATTTTACTTTGTTTGAATTATCTAATTTACGCTTCAATAATAATTTTTTACTAGGACTTAATAAAGTTGAAATTTTTGGCTTACTGTTGGAAATTTGGGAACGAGATTTTCGAGTCTTAAGAGCTTTCTCCAAATTAAAACAAGGTTGACAAATTCCACTCCCAAAATTATCTATTTTAACAGTACAATTTTTACTTTGCCATCGATTTATACGGTTTATATATCCATTATTTATTTGATCTATACCATGGAACATTTGAGCTGGAAGACTACTACCATGACAAACATTTATGTTATTGAAATCCTCCAAATAACTTTTTAATTCTTCTAATGAATTAATGCAGGTAGAAGATGCATATACTTTTCCGAAAATCAAACTCTGAATAAAGTTATTTGACTCGAGTATACGAACTTCTTTAAATATGATAGTTTCAGGATCTGAGTGTAATGACATTTCTATAGAAGCAATTATTTTAAAATGTTGCATATTAAACAAAGACCACGATAAATTTGGAAGCTTCAACATTTCAACTGAATTCCAAGCACTAAATTTATTTATGTTCCGAGTTACTGTAGAAGTCTCAAGCTCACAGTCGAATAATATATCTTCGGTAGTTTGATCAGAACCTTTAAGCCATAAAAGTAACCATCAATATTAATTATATTTATTTACTAATTAGGTACATGATAGGAGTGTGTGTATATATAATATATACAATTGTATTAAAAAATATTAAAATATTTTTATAAAAATTTACTTATAATATATGTACCCACCTCATATTATGTAACACTTATAAATTATAGTTAAGCAGAGTAATAAAAAATATATTTCTTTAATAATTTAAAATTAAAAACATCCAATAAAAAGCATTAAATAAAAACAAAAAATTAAAAATTAAATTTATTTTTGCAGTTACAGGAAAATTTACCAATACAATTACTTAAAATACTACCAAATAATTGTTTATAAAAATTATGTAAAAGTATTTAAATACAATTAATGGATAAGGTCAGATCAAAACTTCAAAGTTCCTATTCAGCAAATACAAAAATAAGTACTTATATATAGGTACTTATTATTGTATATTATTTATTTTATATTATTATATTAATTAATTATTTATATTGTAATATATTTTATATTATTTTTTATATATATTTATTTAGTTACATTTTTACTCTGCTTAAACAATAATATATGAATATTTTACTTAAATACTTTACAGCTTTGTGTTTATAAGCATAATCACAATATTTACTTAACATACTTTGAATAATCTGAGTATCACATAGTAACAAACGCTTTTTAGGACTTTTCCTTGCCTTAGGTATACTTTTTAAGCAAGATTTTGGTATATCAGGAAATATTGTTGGAATTGCCCCTTCTTTTAACCGAGGTTTTTTCAGTGCATACTATAAAAATAAAACATTGTATATAAAATAAATTCCCTTTTTTTTAAAAAAAAAAAATACATACTTACTACCTATCTAAATTATTTTACATTGACTTACTTTTTAGGTATTCACAAATCACATAAACATTTTTATGTGTAATTTTACTTACAATTAATATTATTAATTAAATATATTAATAAATACTTGAATTACCTTTATGTGTCCTGAAGTCCATTCTCTGATAATTTGACTTGGTTCAAAATGCTTAGAGCAAACAGCTGAATTTGTCATCAACTCACGTTCACGTTTAGGAATAATATTCTTCCATTTTACAAACAAAAGTGGATCTTTAGGAACTCCAAATAAAGAAAACTAATACAAATCGATAAAAAGTCAGAAGTCTAACATCTTAACAAGTTGAATAAGAACAAGACAAAATTAAATATTAATACCTACCTTGTCTTTGTTAGAAGCATACCCAGTTTTACAATTTACAATAAAACACTTCACCATTGTTACATAAATTTGCAACTACCACTGGATTATTATTTATTACTCATTAAATAATTAATAAAAATAATTGTAACTTGTAAGATTAGGATTAGGGATTGATGATGGTTATAATCGTGGACCGTGGTTATATTTATATAACACGGAATGCTAGGGGCAAAAGACTACAACGCGCTCTGGTGATTTGGTAATCAATTAAACACATTTTGGCAGACACATTATGTAGTCCGTGCTAATACCTCTATAATATACCGTGGTTCAAACAAATAAATTAGATGTTTTTATAATTATACCAGATCAGTTGTTGTCAGAAATAAAACAAATAGAAAATATTCTACATGAAAATTTACAAATCCCTATAAAATTTAATGAAACTAATATACAAGAAATATAAAAAATATTACATATAGACCTTCACCCAATGAACGATAGAATAATATTTTCACTAAAAATTCCACTATGTATGAAATTTTCAAATTGTATTAAGTACATTATACCAATATACGTTCCAATTAATAAACACGGACAATTTATACATATCGCTGAAAATCCAACGTATTTATTAACAGATGATGTGGTGACAAAATATTTTTTTTGGTCAAATATCAATAACTGTTTAATAGTTACCGACATTTTTGTTTGCTGTTTCAATGAAATGTTACACAATAGTGATACTGATCCCACTTGTGTAACAGAAATATTAAAAAATTATTTAACTAAACCTACGCAATGTGATACTTATATCACGGAATTTAAAAAAGAATTATGGTACCCATCGTTTTTCAAAAATAATTGGTACTTTGTGTGTGAAAAGCCTAAACAATAATCATGGGCGCCCATAGGTAACATTTTAGGGGGGGGGGGTCAAAATAAATAAATTTTCGAATGTAAGATAATAGAGATTTAATGTTATTTTTTACTTATAAATGTATACATGCATGTTATATTAGATTATAAAAAATATAAATTAAATAATATAATTAAGTATATTATTCGGTATCAGTAAATAAGAACTGCAAATTTCTTCGTTTTATTCCAAACATATTAATGACATCCTGAATGAAATTATCCTTGTTTGCGTTAACTCTGTCACGATGAAGGCTCATCATACACAACCCATTTAGAGTCGAGCGAAGCCACGTTTTTACTCGTCTTAATGTACTGAACGATCTTTCTATTATGCACGTTGTCGGAGGCAGTGATATAAAAATATTAAGTATTTGAAAAATAGCAGGATAATATTCGCAATGAGCCAATAAATCAACAAACGAAATTTCATCACACTGGGAGTCAGTCAAATTTTTATCAATCCAATACTGATACCAAATATTAGATTCCTCTATCATATTTTCAATTTCATAATGATCACTAATCAGCTTAATTTTTTCTTTGAAATCATTAATGGTGTACTTTTTAATATTTGTAGGATGCAGTAGACTTATTGAGAATGCTATTTTATTTGTACTTGAAAATCGTCGTGAAAGAGATGATATTAGTGAATCTAAGTACGGAATAAAAATAGAGAGTCTGTAATAGTGTTCAGCAGAATCGGTTTCGTAATTTGATCTATTTTTTTGTTTGGATGTAATACGTGGAATTTTAATATCTGCGCCAATTTTTTCTGCCATAAATACGGAGTTATTAAAACTATCATTAAAAACGATATCTGCTTGTTCTCTATTATTATTAAATATAGTTAATAAATCTTGAATATGATTTTGGACCGAGTATAAATCAATAGATTTTGCCTGTAATTTATTTGTAACTGGTTCTAATTGAGCTGAGTATTTGGATATAATATTTAATGATATAATAAATTGTGATGTTGATGTCGCACATGATAGTTGGTGTGCTTTTGTGCGAGTAGTGGTGTTAACTTTAAAATCTGAGTCATTATTATGAGATAGTTTTTCTAAAACTGACTTAATATTAATAAAGTTTTCAGCAAAAATGCGAATAGATTTATATTTCACAGACCAACGAGTATCACACAAAAGTGGTATATTTGTAACCAATTTTCGACGAAGTACACTTTCACGAAAAAAATTAATAACCTCTTTAATTACTCCTGCAGTATTTTGTATTTCTGTCACTGCATTCAAATCATTTACAACGAGATTGAGTCTATGCGAAGCACAGTGGAAAAATGTTGCTTTAGAATATTTATCACAAATTATTTTCTGAACTCCATTTTCTTTTCCAGCCATTACTGAACACCCATCAAAACCCAAGCCAACAAGTTTATTCATATCCAAACCGTATTTTTCAACAGAAGTCAAAATAGAAGTAGGTATACCAACTGCATCTAATGTTTGTAGTGCACTAAATCCTATAAATTCTTCTCTTATAGTTTTTGAACTATCAACATAACGAACACCAATCGAAAGTTGTTCAATGCCAGCAATATCAGAAGTTTCGTCGGCTAACAGTGAAAAACTTAAGCTACTATTTACTTCTCGAACAATTTGATCACATAATACATTTCCACATAATAAAATTAATTCATTTTGAATGCGGTGTGAGGTATATTTAGCTTTACTATGACATGTTGATAAATGCTCAGACAGAACACTATCTCCAGATTCAACACGAAACTTTAAAAGATCATGAAAATTTCCACTACAGCTCAGTGGCGTGTTGAAGGTATTATTTTGGAGCAATTGCTCCTTCAAAATGTTGGTGGGTGGGTGGTCCCCTTGCCACAAAATACCTAGCTACCTTGGTGACTAGGTTTATGATAGAAAATATTAATACATATACGAATATGTGTCTTACTTGTAATATAAGTAATACTAGTAACCTAGTTATTTGTTATTATAACTTCTTTTTACTTATACAAAATATATAAAACATAATATTAATGATAATATAATATAATATTATATTTTTTAATGTGATAATAAAAATTTGGTGCACTAGCATGCTGTTTGTTGTATATGGTACTATGGTCCATTAGACTAGTTACAATTGGTGCTAACTAATATCTATACCGGCCAATGATACCTAACTCAAATCAAGATACAATATAATTTATGAGTAAAACTAACTAATTAAGTAGTTACATCCGTTTATACAAATCTACAAATATTACAGATATTTTGTAAAAATTTATTTTTTGCTGTGGTGGAATTTTTTTTAAGGGGTGGGTGGGTGGGTGGGTACCTTGCATGCAGTTTTGCTCCTCATCAAAAATGAGTTCAACACGCCACTGCTACAGCTCAATTTGCCTCTAATTGCTAGATCATGTGTCGCACAAAATATTATTGATGACAAAATAGGGACTAGCTTTTTTATATTTTGTTCAATTTGTGAGTGTTGAGCAATATTTAATTTATCTATAACACTTTTTTCTTTGTTGGACATAATTTTTAAAAAATCTGTTGATTAAGAAACCGAATCCCTATGCCATTCCAGGGGGGGGGGCAAGTGCCCTGTCTTGCCCTCCCCCCCAATGGGCGCCCATGACAATAATTACAATAATTTGTAATAATCGATCTTTTATTCGTAAAATTACATTGAAAAGTTCTGGCAAATTATTTCTGAAAGGTGGGTGTCAAGCTCATACTACTAAAGGCGTATTAATAACAGAGCAAACAGTAGAATCGTCTTTTGCAACACTACCTTTAGATTTAAGTATTTTAAATGATTCATGTTGCAATATTACACTTAATCAACGTTATCCAAAACCCATTAATTTAGATGAAATAAAAAATTTTAAATTCGACAAAGAAGCTTTTATAAAAATCATTTCAAAGTTAAATACACAAGATGAATTACCTACTAAATTCAATATTATTAAATAAGACGTATGAATTGTATATACAAACAAATATTTAATCATTACAATAGTTATTATAATATTATACGCGTGTGTAAAATTCTGTATTAAGAAAAAAAAAAAATATTTCAGCTTTGAAAAATATAAATTTAGGTTATTGTCCTGTGCCCATTGCTCCACCAAAACAATAAACTTTACTTTGTAATTTATAATTACATTTTATACATGTCAATTTAAATCTCTTACTTATACATTTTTTCATACTAATAGTAGTTATACTTTATTTTTTAAGAATACATATTTTATTTTATCTACGCATTTGTTAAAATATATAAGTCTTAGGAATTTAAATTATGATTTATGTGTATTTAATATATTAATATTTATATAATAATTTATAGTTATTTGTACAGTTACTAATTATAGAATAAATGATTATAATATGACATTTCGTTCGTAAATCGTAATAATTAAATATTTGTAATTTGTGTACATTACTTACAATAAATGTTATAACATTTGAATTAATTTTGTTTTTTTTTTTTTACATAATTAATCTGATTCCATAGTTCATATTTTAATTATTGTAATAATAATTTATTCATTAAAAAGATTATAATATAATTATTATATGACATTTAATTTGTAATAATTGTTACAATGGAATTAAATTTAAATTTTTTTCTTATATAATTATTAATTATTCCGATATCGTAATAATTAGTTTTATTATCATACCCAAATAGTTCGATAATTCAAGTAATACGGCTTATTGAAATGGTTTACAGCAAAACTACCTATCATAAAAATTGTAGAGAAGAATTTTTTTAACATTCGTAAGAAGCCCGTTTTTTTTATATTTTTATAATTAGTTAAATAATTAATGGATAAAAAGTTAAAAATCGTGTTAATTTACCATTTGATATTGGACGATTAGAATACGTTTTCTTACGATTGTCAAAAAAATTCTCCTCTACAATTTTTATAATAGGTAGTTTTGTTGTAAGCCACTTCAATAAGCCGTATTACTTGGAAAAAAAGTATAGTTTTTATTAGTATAAAATTCGGATACGAATAGAAAATATAAAACCGAACAAAATTAGATAATGTTTGTCACGAAATAGGTATTATATAATAATCGTTTTCTTCTCTGGGTATTTATAAATTATGTACAGAATATGTACAGCGATAGAAAACCTGTTTTGACCTTGGTGAGGCACTGCCGTTACGCACGCCGTTATACACGAGAGATCATTTATCGTACGAAAATATTATCCCACGATATTTGAAATTACATGTTTATAAATAGAGCTATTCACACGATCACGATAAAATGTAGTATGATACCTCGAAAACTGTCGGATGCACTTTAATATTTCAATCAAAATGTACAAAAATAAACTGATTAGAACACATGAACAATAATTATTGTTCGTTAAACCAAAAAAACAAATTCACTACCAAATCATCCTCCGATGAATGCAACCGCTCTGGCGGAGCGAAATTTGTGAATTTTCAAACAATAATTTAATTATAGATAGGTATAGATGTACTTATAAGTGAAATCCAAATATCCAATCAAGAGCTCTTCTTTGGGATAAAAGTCTGAACCATTATTAAGATAGAAATTTAAAAAGAGTGGCTTGGGAAAAAATATGTCTTATTTTATCCAGATTTTAATAAGATCTCCAGTCAGCAACAAAAACTAATTGGTAAGTAGTTAACATTTTATTTTGGATTTAAACGTTGTGTAAATGTGTAATAATACATTCAATTTAATAATTTTCATTATTTTATATTTATATCAACAGCATTACATTGTTATTATATTATTGTAAGTCTATATTTAAACTATTTAAGCAAAAATTATATTATAGGGAAAAAATCGATATTAAAATGTAACATTTAAAATTAGAAACATAATAATTATTACACTTAACTATTTACCATATTGCCATGGTATAGCTCCTATGGTATATCTGCAAATGTATTTCTTATATCACTTACGAATCTAGTGCCACGGTTGATATTACTTGGTCTTTCAATTTCATTGAACCCATCAATAGTTAGAGTGTCTTGAAAAACATATCCATTTTTTTCTAGTACATAATTATGCAAAACACAACAAGCTTTCTTAATATCAACTGCCAAATCCTTGGTAACGTTTAAAGGTCTATGAAAAATCCTCCATTTATCTGATAAAATTCGGAGATCACATTCTACTTCGTGCACGAGACAAACAGTAGATAAAACATTTTTTTTTCCGATAAATTTCTTTCTGCTCAGGGTCGTTGTACGTTTTTTGATTGAACAAGGCTTCATCACCAATAAATACATATAGAACAGTTTCATTCGTATTCGGTTATTGAGATGGTTCGGGAATACGTAGTGATTCATTGTCCAATAAAGTCCGAAACGATGAATTTTTGAAAATAGTGGAGTTGAAATCCTTTCCAAATGATCCCACATCAACATATATAAACCTTTAGTCTGAATCCGCAAATTCTAATAAAACAGTTGAGAAATAATGTTTATAGTTATAATGCTGAATACCAGTTATACGAATGTGTTTTCCGTCCTCTGCTCCTAAGCAATTAGGGAAATTCGCTCGTTGTTTAAAACCAGTAGTAATATCTTGCCAATATTAATCTGTAAAAGAAGGCATATGAACTACTACAAGCTCATCCCATATTACAGTACAAACTTCGTGAATAATCTGAGCAATTGTTGATGTTCCTAATTTGTGGGAATAATGCAAATCTGTGAGTGTACACCCAGACTCAAGGTATCTGAAATATAAAATAAAGTTTTCTTCATTTTAAATTATAGACAACATTAATATATTTATATATGTAAAGTATAGATAGTGCTATTTTATATGTTTTTATATAATTTTTGAACTCTGAGATTTGTTAGATTATTTAAATAATATAATATAATACGTATCAGTGGCAGATTGACACAATTCTTATTTGGAGTGTAGTCAATATTAAAATATCTGACCACCTACCTACATTTTAAACACCACCACTGTTACAGTTAAATATATTATATTATATCGTAGTATATAATATATTTAATAGTTTATTTTTGTATGTAATTTGAGATTTGATATTCAAATTATTAATTAACTATAGCAAACAGCATAGAAAAAAATGGAGGAATCTCAGAGATGAGTTATTTTCATTAGCAGTTTAAAAGAGGATATTACATAATACATAGTACCCGGCGAGCGGCGGCTAGACCGCGACGATGGGCGAATCGGTTTTCGCCCAAAATCGAAATTTTGGTTTTTGCCCAATTTTGGTTAACACTGTATTTTTTTTTTTTATTGAAAATGTGCCTAAATGACTATACGTATACCTACATAACATTTAATAAACATAAGTTTATAGGTGTAAAACATCTTAAAAAATAGCATAATAATAAAAATAAAATTTTAAAAATTTTAAATGATATATATATAGTACCTATGTTTTACACTAATCTATATCTGCCATAACTTCGACGAATAATTGAATTTTTAATATTATACTATTTTTTTCATATGTTTTACACTTATACATATATACCATTTAAAATCTGTTTTCTGTGTTTTTACATATATTATTTACATTGACTATTTTTTTGGTTTTTTTTTATAGTATGTTTTACACTAATCTATATCTGCCATAACTTCGACGAATAATTGAATTTTTAATATTATACTATTTTTTTTTCATATGTTTTACACTTATACATATCATTTAAAATCTTTAAAATTTTATTTTTATTATTATGCTATTTTTTAAGATGTTTTACACCTATAAACTTATGTTTATTAAATATTATGTAGGTATAGGTACGTATTGTCATTTAGACACATTTTCAATAAAAAAAAAAAATACAGTGTTAACCAAAATGTTTTTTCGTTCACTATAAATAATATTTCTTTGGGCGAAAACCAAATTACTCTTTTTTGTGTTTGGGTAAAAAAGGTCATTTGGGCAAAAACCAAAAGGTCGATTTTGGGCGAAAACATGTACGGCCGCGACGATACTGTCCCCTCTCCTGGGGTACAAAGCTTCGGCGGCGGTGCGCCAGGGTGACAAACATTGAGACACGGGACGTGACAGAATCATCGAGTGAAATTTAAAATAATGAATCTGTATCCAACAATAATAATAAGATCCAGTTTTAAGGAAATCATGTGACTTTGTATTTTAAAAGGTAGAGAATAATAATTTTAGCATAGAAATAAAAATTTCATAACAATTAATAATATGATATGGCACATGGCTAGGTGCACAATATAATAATAATAAAGCATTTACAAATTTTGTAAGAGATTAGAGAATGATAATATTTGTTGCAAGTTATAATAAAATAATGTGGTTTTGAAATTTACAATTCAATAATGACAAGTTTATGACATAAGCATAAAGGATGGTTTTATTATTAATATTATTTAAAAAGAACACACGTCTCTGGACGGGTTAAATTATTTTCATATTGAATAAATAAATGTCTTGCGACAAATCTGCTTATCTTTTCTATAATAAAATAATATTTATAATAGTTATAATAGTATAATAATAGGTATGCTAGGTATCATTCTCGTAACCGCCGCGACACGCATAATGTTATTTAGATAAACAAATAAACAATTGATAACCAATAATATTATAGAAACATAATATTATAGAAGACATGTCCGAGGACGAGCCCCAAATGAACACGGAACCGCAAATTAACATGGAGACGAGGGCGGCAGAACTGTGTGACGCGACCACGCAACCGGTTCGCGATTTCGTATACCGGTACTACCTAACGCTGGCCGGCGTGCCAAACGATGCCTGGCGGTTTTACACGGTAGGTGCTCGGTACACGCACGTGGACGGTCGCGGGCCCGAGGAGGCGCGCGATCCGGGACCGGCCGTCGGCCAGTACCAAATCCACGTGAATATCACACACCAGCGTTTCTCCGAGTGTACGTTTCTTATACGGTCCATCAATGAGCAGCCTGTGGCGGACGGCCGCGTTCACGTTCTGGTTACCGGCGACACTTCCCGCAACCAGCGGGTGGCCGAATCGTTTATCCAGTCGTTCGTGCTCGACTACGTGCGGGAGATCAACCAGTACGCCGTCACCAATTCCATACTGAAAGTGTACACGTCATTGCCTCGACCACCTTCGCCGTCGACTTTCTCGTCCGAATGAACTGATGAAGAAATCCAAGCTACACGGCTGGGGGACACTTTATATTATAACTATTGTGTAACGAGCCCCTTATTGACATTCTTTATTACGAATGTGCATTATCATATATTATATTATAAGATCAATAAGGAACATGACTAATAATAACTAGTATCATCTATTGGTCGAAATTCTAAAACAGTTTTAATTGTAAATTCAACATGTTATAAAATATTACATTTCTAATGTCATACACGGTTTGGTATCGGCGTTTGTATTTCTTCTCCTTTTATGTGTATGAACGTTTTGTGTATAAGGGGAGAATATGTATTTCGTATTTTAGTTTTTGAGTCTATAAGCTAAAAACAGACATTTCCTTTTGATGTACGCGCATTAGAATAACAAACAATAATTAACTATTTTCTTTAATAATATTATATAAATTAGTTATGTTATTGCTATTTTATTACCCAACTTGGCCCGGGAATTTTTTTATATAATGTATTTTAATTTACTGAACAGATGTCGCCAATGGTGTATTCCTATTTTCGTATTTTACCTCCCTTAATAGCTAAACGTGCAAAAATAAATTTTCCCAACTCCTTCACAATCCCTTTTTAATCAAAATATTATAGGTACTAGCTAAACTACCCGGTGTTCACCGGAAAAAATATTGTGATTATTCAATTCTTCGGGCGTTACTCACTGTGGAAGCAATGTCTTTTTAAATTTAAAAACTATTATATTGAATTGATAGACTTGATGTTGCCCGTGATTATGCGAGTAGTATATTATTCTGGACATTATGATTTAGGGATATTGAGATACCATCAGAGAAATCATGTTCATTTTTAATGCCGAAATATGTCCTTTATAAAATAAATAATGAGATTTAATTGAATTAAAAGTGACTGTAGATCTGATTTATATGATTTTGCAAAGTTTTGATGAATCAAGTCTAGTGGCACACTTTCTATGTCTGTCATGCTTGTTGAATTATCTAAACCTAAAACATAACCTTTGAAAAAATTAATATAGGTTTTAAATTTTTTATTTGTACCTAATGTATTAATATTACTTTTAGGAATTGAGTTTAGTTCAACTATAATGTGTGATGTTGTTTCGATAACTGAATGCCTTTCATTTCCACAATTGCACATAACGCCTTGGTATTTTTAATATATTTCTCTACTTCAGTCTGAACACAAACTTTTCCGTTATAAACGTTAAGTGACAATTTAGCAAAATTGTGCTGTAAATGTGGAACAGAACAAAAATAATTTTGACATTTCTTATACGTTTTGAATGATGGAATTTCTTTTAAAAGCTTTTCAACCATTGATCTAACCGTGTATGTAATATCTAAACATTTTAGACCACCAACTAATGCTTAAGTTTTTTCACCGAAAAACTGTAGCAGTAATGATAATCGAGTGTGATAAATCTGTTTGGTGTTTTTTTGAATAATTAATTGTAAAGCAAGTTTGGCAGTCAAATTTGAAGGCTCCATTTCTTCTTAATAATTTCTGAAACTTATGCTATCCGTAGTGGAAGAAGCTAAAATGGAAATTAGTGAATCGACTGTGCATGTATTGTTTAAAATCATCTTTCCAGATCCAGGTACTGAAATTGGCCTATTCATCAGATTATTTCCATTTTTCAATAAACATATCAAAGTTGAAGATCTCGTTTTATTCAAATCAACTAGATCAAAACCTGGTTGATGAACTAAATAAGAACGAGCAGAACGTGTTATTTGTGATCTAATATTTTGGTTATTACCTTTTCGGTTCCAATTCTCGAATGCTTCATCTTCTGCTAATTCAGACGCAGTTTTATCACAATTAAGACATATTCTTTCTTCTTCCTTTGTACCAGGTGCTGCAATTGAACATCCAAATAAGTGAATTGGTTTTTTGCAATTACTACATTTATGAAGCCCGGTAGGAAGATCTCCATTTGTACAAAGAACACATACACATAGCAATGATTTTATAGTTGTTTCATTTGGGTGTTCAGATAATGTATTATGTGTTTTTCCTTGATTAATTTTGGTCAAATTATTTTGTTGGTCTTTTTCAATTAATGTAGTTACCATGTATTCAATTTCAATTTTGACTCCATTAGCAATAGCTTGAGCCCAACCTTTGAAAAGATTTTTTTGACCTTCACTTTAAATATTTGCATCCTCATAAGGATAGACTTTTCTAACAGCATTGGGATTATTTGAATCATCCTGTTTATATTCCAAGTCCTATAAATGATCTGAACTTTTTATTAAATCCTTTAATTATATAATATCCTTATATTATATCCTTATATTATATCCTTTATAATATTTCTTGCTTTTAGCACAAGGAGTCAACTGTCGTTCGTTGTGATTGTTACTTTGATTTGCATGTAATATATCTCCATCATCCCTACTGAGAATTATTGTGAATATGGCTTCCAACATTTTTTCAGCTTTGTTAACAGAAGTACACATTACTAGCAAACCCATACCTCGTGCTATAAATTCTTTGGTGTTTGGATATCGTAAATTCTTCACTACATTCCATTGAGACACAAGATGAATAAAATGATGCACATCGTTTCTTAAAAAACATTTAGGGACTTGTACTTTTTCTTTTTATATAATCAGAGAAAATCAAGCATCGAGATATTGCTCAAGAGATGAATATTTGGTAAATGCTTGCACTATCGCAGACAAGCTAATGACTGAGCACAAATGGCAATTTTTGGAGGATCAATACCACAACGTAACCATCTTCTTAAAAAAGAAGAAATTGAAATGTTGTCATGTTGCTCTGAAAGCATGGACATAACGGTAAAACTTCGATTATTTATTCATATAACACCTTCATATGAAAATATAGATTCACTTAATTTAAATGCATTTCTTTTCAATTTTTGGCAACAACCACCGGTTGCATCAAACGATATACTAAGAACTTGTTCTTTTTTGTAATTATTTCTATATATTTGTAATTGCAAGTGACTCCAAAAGTGTATAAAGAATTTGTCAAAACCAATATCGTAAATTGAGTTTTCAAACTTTTGACTTTGCTTCAAAAAATTATTTCAACTATAGGATTAGAATCATAACGTGTAGTTGCAATGAATCTATGTTTAGCTACTCTTGATGTTCAACTAAAATATCAACTAAAATAAAAAGAGTAAGTGGTAGAAATAATAAATATAAACAATATAATAACTTTAGAAATAGCATGACGGTAATGATTAAAAAAAAGAATATTTCAATATTATACATTCAATTAAATCCTACATTCATTATTTTTTCACTTCTTAGACCCAAGATTCATTGCTTTGCTTTTAATGGGTCCCCTAATGCTCCAGATCACCTCTAAAAAGGCTGCTTTAGAGTTCCGCCATATCCTACCCACAACCAGCTTCCTTTCGTTATCCTCCGTCACACCACCTCATACTTTCTTAACCACTCCAGTTACGGCATACTCAAAATATTTATAACCTGATCTTATACTCTCATTATATCAGGGATGATAAATCCATGGCACGCATGCCCGAGGTGGCACGCGAAAAGATTTTGTGGGCACACGAAAATGTTTACTATTATATATTATACAATATAGATTATAGGACATAGGTAATAGGTTAAAATATTTACGACTTTTATCGGTCATTAACGATTATTCAATTTATCTATATATCTATGTATAAATATATAATATTGCGTTTATTATCTTATCTACGTTTATTGATAATAATAACTAATAAACCTACCTCGGCAAACAGTAATCAGTACAAATACGTCTGTCGGTCTGTAAGTGTGTCGTGCGTGTTTCGTGTTTCGTGTGCGATTATTATATTTTATTTAACACTAGCTCTAAGTATAACTCGGGGTCCGTTGGAATCGCTGAGAGTGGGTACCGATTTTGGAGACAATGAATTATAAAAGTCGCAAAGGTTGTAACTTGTAAGACGAAAGTTTAGGATTTGTGATAAGGATTAGTGATATGGATTGGAGATAAGGCTAGACGCTTTGGCGGGAATGTTAAAAGTTTGAGTGTCTAGCAATCCGTCACAAACGTTGTAAATGGATAGGCTGGATACGATCTCCAGGATCACCTATATAGAGTATACCTACACATAGAGTGGTATGTGCCGTAGCATGAACGGTGCTTTATCTTATGTAAAAAGTATAAAGTCGAAAACCGTGTTGGAGTTTCTAGCAAGTCAGTCATCTCAAGTCAAAATATATTAACTTTCAAGTTAGCCACTTAGGTAGGCAATCCGACTTCGTCGGATCGCGGACTATGTGCTACAGCAAATCAGGTAGGCAATCCACCGCAGGTGGATTGCAGACACGACATCAAGCGGCTATAAGTGAAAACCCTATCACACAACTTATGAAATAATTTACGAAAAATTCAAACTATATATACATACAAACAAATATGATATGTATTTATTGTGTGATATAATATAACAATGAACATTTTGAGAAATGTGCAATTATAATTCCTAAAAAATATTAACATATAGGTAGATAGTTAGATACATACTATTATATAAACCAATACATATAAACATGTACCTATAGTGTATATATATTAATTTAAAAAAAAATTGCAAAAACCTGCATGTTATTTGTTAAAGTGTCTATCAAGTCAATCATCACCGTTTAAGACGAAACCAAAATGAGCAATCCGTCTATCACCTATATATAGTAGGTATATCACATAGAGTGGTATGTGCCTTCGCATGTCCGGTGCCTTTTCTTATGTAAAAAGTGTAAAGTCAAAAACCGTGTTGGAGTGTCTAGCAAGTCAGTCATCTCAACTCTCAAGTCAAAATCAAGATTAACTATCAAGGCAAACCGAAATAAAATACAAACTATATTTATATAACAATCATGGAAATTTTAAAAAATATGCAATTTTAATAATTCCTAATAAAACAAATATAATATGTACCTATTTATTGTGTGATATAAAATGATAATAATGTACGATATGTTCCTGTATTATTATATTATTATTTAATTTATATGAAAAATAACGTGAAAAAAAAATGCAAAAAAAGTCGGGATTTGGGCGGCCGTGTAAACCATATGGCTTTAACGGTTTCAATGCCTGGACGGCGTACGACGGATTTGAACCCGGGACCTACGTGTTTCCTGCCTAACGCCTAACCAACTCGGACACAGTTTGAGATATGAAAGACAGTGAAAACATCAACAATTAAGCCGTGCGACTACGGAGCGACGTAAACCGATATATTCGATGTACATCGATGTAATCGCATATAATTCGCTTGTAATACGCACATCTGCCATATATATATGTGAAAAGCGTTTTCCGTTAATAATTATTAAATCATAAGGAAAAATTAAATTATACACGTATATACATGTATATATACGCGTACGGCTGGTCGGTCGCCGGCGTAATTTCCAAACGCGATTGCGAGGCGAACGAACCGATTTTGGGGGAAAAGCGCATATGAACGGCTTCAAAAAGACTCGATTCGGACACAAACGGGTGCGAATAGACGAAACGGTGGGAGAAAAGGAAAAAATCGGCAAAAAAGTCCGGTCGGGAGTGTATTTATTGATCGACATTGAACACGAATATAAACCGCACACCGGTTACTTCGAATTAAGTATATAAAAGGGCGAAAAGATATCGTGTAAAAACAGCTAATTTTCCGAAAATCGGCGAAATGATAGGAAAACAGGAGATAACGAAAAACGTTTTAAAACCGACCGCCGCCACTGCGAAGGTACGCGATTGGTCGCGCTATAAGGAATCGACGGGACATGGCCGGCGGGCTGGGGAAACGGAGCAGTGCTTCATTTTTTACGCCATGGGTTCGCTATAGCCGGCGTTTTCCTTTCCATTGGCCCCCAATATTATCAGTCAGCTGTTCTTCATTTTATAGTATTAGATTATTTAATAGGTATGTCTGTACCAAAAAAAAGAAAATTAGTGAATTAAATGTCAGTAGTTTTAGTAGCAGAGAATTTCAAAATTCATGGATTGAAGATTATGGTATGGTTAAAAAAGGCGATAAAGCAGTATGTATTTTATGTTCAACCACAATAGTATGTAGAACATCATCTGTTAAACGACATTATGAAACTAATCATAATTTGCTTTTGAAAAAAACAAAAGAAGAACAAAAAGAATATATTCTACAAGCAATGAAGAACAACAATTTGCAGACAAATACTTTAATGCAGTTTGTGGGTAGCAATTCAAATATTGCTGCTGTTTAATGTTTATATATATATTTCAATATTAATATCAAAACAAAATATTGTTATGCTGTATCAAATGTTATTGCAAAGCGCGGAAGGCCCTTTTGCGATGGAGAATATATTAAAGATTTGATGCTGGAAACTGCACCATTTCTATTTGAAGATTTTTCTAATAAAGATAAAATTATGCAACGCATAAAGGATTTACCCATAACCAGAAATACTGTAAAATCTCGGATTTTAAAAATTGCAGAAAATAAAGAAGAGTTGGTTAAATTAGTCTCATTGCAAGAAACAACAAAAGGAACTGATATTTGCAAAGCAGTTGTAAATACTCTTTCTGAGGCAAATGTGGATTTTTCTAGGATTGTTTCTGTTACCACTGATGGCGCTGACCAAACATAACTGGTAAAGAATCAGGGTTTATTAATTTATTTACAAAACATGTGGGACATCCCCTGCTAGGTTTTCACTTTATTATACACCAAGAGGCAATGTGTGCAAAACATACTTTTAAATCATTTAATGCTATAATAAAACTAGTAACTAAAATAGTGAATTTCATTACTGCGCGAAGCTTGAATAAAAGAAAATTTGAAAATCAATTAAAAGAAGTAAACTCTGTGTACAGAGGTTTAGTTATGTTTAATAATGTTCGCTGGCTTAGTCGTGTCAATGTTCTCCAGAGGTTTATTGATAGATGAGCAAAATCAAATACATGAAGAATTATATGACTTGGAGTGGACAGCCAGATTGATGTTCTTTGCAGATTTCACCCAGTATTTAAATGAATTGAATATTTAACTACACGGTGATAATAAAATAATCACTTGTATGTTTGATATGATACAAGCATTTCAGGTAAAATTAAAAACATTTAACCGTGACATAATAAACAAAAATTTCAAATATTTTTCTAACCTTAAAAAGTTTATTTCGGAATTGGAAATTTTCAATAAACCTGATATTACTCATCTTATTGAAAAATTTTCAAATATTATTGAGACAGCTATGAATGAGTTATCTACACGCTTTACTCAGTTTAAAGAATTTGAAGAAACCATGAAAATTATGAATATTATTATTTATCCACACATTGTCATTAGAAAAACTCAACTTAAAAGTGTTAGAATGGTTGAATTTAGATGATTTTGAAATGTAGCTTGTAGATTTTCAGTCGAGTACCATTTGGAAAGAAAAATTCGTTATACTGAAAAATGAAGAAATTAGAAGAAATTCAGAGTGATAGGGCGATAGGCAAATTGATCGTAAACATAGGGGACAAGATATTGAAAGTGTGGAATGAAATTCCAAAAGATTATTCCACTTTAAAAATAGTAGCATTAGCTGCGTTTTGTCTGTTTTTTCTTCAACTTATTCATGCGAGTCATTATTTTCAGAAATGAATTTTATAAAATCTGATTTAAAAACCGACTAACTGATGAATGCAGTGCCACCTGTACTTTATTAAAAGTTACTAATTATAAACCAAAAATCAACGAATTGGCATCAAGTGTTCCATCACAAAAATCACATGAAAATAAATAATATTATTATAATTATTATATATTATTATTATTATGTACCTAAACTAACCTTATTATACTAATACATTAATTATATACAACCAAATTGTAATATAACAAAATATGATATTTTTAATATTTATGGCACGCTCTAAAAAAAAAAAATTTAATTTTGGGCACGCAGAGTTCAAAAGGTTTGCCATGTTTATATTTTGTTTATATTACTTATTGTACTCGATGTATAAATTGTAATTTTTCATAATAAAGTCAAATATATTTTAAAAATATATATTCATAACTATGTATATAAAATTACAGTTTTTTTCCATTGTTGCATTATCATCTAGTTTCTTTTCTACCTTGTAATGTCACCATTATTAAATAATTTGGCGCCTTGATTTGGCGATGAAATTATTTTTATTTCACCCGAAAAATTACACTTTGTAAAAGTGGACAACTTAAATATATTATTATTTAAGTCTTGCGACTGCCCAACTATTATGATGATGAAACATTTCCTCAAAGAAAAAATTATTATCCTTCAAGAAAAAAAAAACTACTCACCAGTCATCTTGTTGTTTTAAAACTATTCACTTTGTAATTGCCAAATTATGAAAGAACTTTTATCCCCCAAAACCCAAAAAATCATTATACCTACTTTGTGCACAAGCCATGTGCAGAAAAATTATTATTTTATGTAAACCTGCCATGTTCCAACCAAATTATGTTTAATACATTCATTCTTACTCTCTTTATTATATTTGCCCACACAAAAAAAAATTATTCTCTCACACCTAGTGGTGAACCAAATTATTGTTATATCATATTGTACCATATTATTCAAAATTATTAGCTTATAATATAGATTCTATATTATATTGTAATTGCCAATTGCCACTATATGTAAACAATTTTTTACAATATTTTTTATAAACTGATTTCTTATCCATTTTTTTTATTACATAGAGTTTATTTATAAATTTTTATCAAACAAAATTTCTATTAAGATTTATATTCAATTTAAATTTTTTATAAAATATAAATTTTTTATCAACGTATTTTTTATGAACATTTTTGTCATTTCTTTTTAACAAAGCTTTCTGTTATAATACATTTTCATAAAACAGAAAAAAATTAGAAAAAGTCTATTGGATAAAAAATTTATATTTTTAAAAATTCAAATTGTTTATCAATGTTAATAAAAATTCAGTTTGTTAAGAATCAATAAAATATTTGTTAAAAAAGTTGGTAATAAAGGTTTATAAAATAATCTTATCAAAGATATTATGTTCATATCTTATAAAAAATAAGTTTATTGAATTTATGTTTGTTATAAAATATGAATTTTTTTACAACAGATTTTTTATTGATTTTTTAATTTCAAAAATCTTTAAAAATCTCTATGTAATTAAATAAATTATAAAAATCTGTTATATGGAAATGTGTTATAACATAAATCTCTATAATCCCGCTAAGTCGAAAAATGGGGATGGCGATAACTTTGGTTTGGAGGTAAAATTTTTATTTTTGTATATCCAGACAGCACTAATTGAGCACTACAAGTTGGTACTACAACGGATTTTGGTGCTGGTGTTGTACCCACTGGGACGAAATACAGAAAACGGCATCATCAAATAGCACTAATTAATCACTACATTTTGGAGCTATAGCGGATTTTTAGCACATATTTCCGCTAACTTGACGGACCTAAAATTAAAATATAAAAATAAAAAAAATATATAAAATTATGAAAAAAATAAAGCTAAAACATAAAAAATATTTTATATATTCATGTTAAAAAAACTACCGAAAATACTTTTGATCAAGATTACTTTTAATACATGATAAAAATATATTCAAAGATTATATTAAGGATTATAATATCAGCACCCGGTTGGGAAAAACTTTTTTCTCGGTACTTGGTTTAGGTTAAAAATTCCAAATTTTCGGTTACGAATGGTTACTAAACGGTTACTAAAGTATGGAACCAATTTCGAAAAAAATAGTTTAGGTTGTGGTGCTAGTGTAAAGTACCTTTCGTAATGCACCATATCGTTTCATTTCTATATCCGAATGTTGGGATTATTACACAAATGTATAATGGTAGAAGCTTCATTTAAATTTTTTAGCTGTGAAATAATGTACCGCAAAAATCAAGGATTTAGATCAACACTTTCTTCAATACTACTTTGACCAACATCATAATATTATATAGAATTTTGCAACAAAATGTTGTTTTTCCAAACGATTTAAAACTATCTAGCTAAAAGAAGTTGAGTTTTTCCAAATTACCCTGACTTTAATTTTTAATTACTTTTTATCCTTTTCTTTACTAACGAAAATTTTGTTTTTATAAACCTTTACAAAAACTATACAAACGTAATGTCTTGTTTAAATGGAAATATTTTTAATTAGGGGGGGGGGGAAATGTGCCTCTTACTGTCAGGGTTAAAAATATATGTTATATAAATGGTTTTAATCCGAGTCTTACAAATTTTTTTTGTTCTAAGTGTTATAGGAACTAGTTGAAGTGGTCTTTATAATAAAGTCACATTATCACAATCTAAATCTGAGAACATTTTGTTGTCTAAAGAATACATATTAACAATATAGCAAATTTTCTTAATATCTAGACTAGGTAATAGGTATATGTAAAGATTTCAAATTATCAGTTAACAACAAAAACATATTTCAGCATCTTGAATTATTTTTTTAATCGCATTTTTCAAAAGATTTATTTTAAGCTATGGTATGTGCTAATATACCTTTACATAAAATCACCAATATTGAATTTCGATCATTTTTAGAAAAATATACACTTAACAGGTTGACTGCCATGAGATCCCATACTGGATCTCACCTCTTCGTATCCACACTGCCAAGGGTTTTTTTTGTTAAATTGTTCAAAACATTTCATTTCACTTTCATTAGTATCATACCACTTATTAAGACGTGAATGTGGAGAAATAACTTTGCTGGCTATTTGCTGTGCAGCATACTTATTGGTTTCAATGACAATATTATTTATAATATTTTGATCTACTATTAAGTGATAAAAACCAATAGGAGAATCATCATATAATGTGTCGTACAAATCAGGGTTAACACTGTAATCTCCATTGTCAGGATTAAATATATATGAATTAATTACTGAGTCGTCATCTCTCCACTGTCTAGGACTATCATCTTGTTGAGTTTTTTTTCTAGGTTGTCCAGTATTTCGCACAGTTTGTGTAGGTTCTTCATTAGTATCAGAGTCACTTATATGGGAAATATCTATGAATACAATAAATAATTATTATGATGTATAATCTATATTATAACATAAAAATAACTCACCATGATTAATATAATTATCCTGCACAATATCGTCAAATATTTGATCTTGAACTAATTAAAAAAAAAATCAAATTAAATTGTTATACTAGTACCAATTATAATATACAATTCTACAATTAAATGCTATAAAATTCTATAATTAATATTACTGTTATTATTTTTATACTAAAAAACATTTAAAATGTGTAAAGTATAATATTTGTATTATAGTTACTTACAACAAGAGTTCACACCATCATTTTCCCAAGTTGGATCTTCATCGGTGTCGTCTACATCATCAAACTCGTCGAAATCAGAATCTAACATCTGATTAATAATGTGTTCATCCATTTTTAAAATAAGTTCACTTCTTGAATTAATATTATAGGTACATACAGTGAAACGAATCAACAGCAAAAAATTAATAAATTGTCATTTTACATCATGATAACAATAATGGAGGGAATTTTATCAATCACACTATGAGGTCTTGTACATTTGTACTTATGTTCACTATTCCTACCATTTACCTTTGTGCAACTCGTTAACGTATTAAAAGTA